GCGACGTCGCCGAGGACCCGCGCCCGCTGCCGCTTCTGGAGGCGACGACGACGACGACGACGACGACGAGACGGACGAGGAGGAGGAGGACGACGACGACGGCGACGACGACGACGACGCGCGGCGACGACGACGACCACGACGACGACGACGACGGCGACGACGACGACGACGGCGGCGGCGGCGACGACGACGGCGACGGCGACGACGACGACGACAGCGACGACGACGACGACGACGGCGACGACAACGGCGACGACGACGACGACGTCGACGGCGGATACGGCGACGGCGACGACGACGACGACGACGGCGGCGGCGGCGGCGACGGCGGCGGCGACGGCGACGGCGACGACGACGACGACGGCGGCGGCGGCGGCGGCGGCGGCGGCCCCCGTGCGCCGCCAGGATGCTGCAGCACGTCCGCGAGCAGACGGAGAGGTCCATCACGAGCCAGATCGTGGAGGACACCTTCAACAAGTGCAAGGGGAAGGTTGCGCGGCAGAAGAACACGATGACTTCGGCGAGGTCCATGTTCGCGACTGCGATCGACTCCGAGGTGATCTCCAAGACGCACAGGTTCGTGGAGGTCGACCGCAGGTCCGCGCAGCTCGAACGGATGGTCGCCCTCGCGCCGACGGCAACTAAGCCGCCGCTTTTGAAGAAGGAGCAGGACCAGGCGACCATCAACTTGGGCCTACACAAGGTCGCGACCTTCGACGACTCCGAGTGGTACTCGCCGTGCGCGAGCAGCTATACGGACCCCTTGGCCGACTTGGAATTGTGCAGGCAGGCCCACGCCCAAGGGCGCATGGGTGCATTAGATCGGAAGGTGTACGCAGAACTTGTGCACCGAGACGTGATGGTGAGGAAAGTTGGTACGGATGTTTTTTTTCGGGGTCGGCAGTTTGGGGGGCCTTGCCGTGCTGTGGCCGTCCAAGCGGGTCCTGGGCGGCGATTGCCACGCTATCGAGTTCTCCAGGGTTCGCGAGCTCCACGCCATTCTTGACCCCGACGAGTGGGAGTGCGTGCCGATCGAGTGGCGCTCGCCGTTGCACTTGGCCGTCCAGACGGAGATGGCCAAGGCTGGCGTGAACGCGGCGGGCACCGACGTGGACTTGAAGGGCGCCGCCTCCCCCCCGCCGCGCGCGTCTTGCTTGCGCCCCCCGCTCCCCTTCCGCTCTCCCCCGCTCCTCCTTTGGAGGTGGAGGGAGGGTGGAGAGGGTCGCCCTTCTCCTCCCCGCTGTCCTCATGCGTCCTTGGACGCGGGCTCCCGCGTTAGTGCCAGGTCTCTGCGTCCCTCTTCATCCTGGCACCTCCTCGCACTCCCTGCCCCTATCGCCTTCATGGTGTCCGTCGGCCCTTGCTCGCCTAGACGCCCGACGACGCCGCCGCCGACGACGACGACGCGACGGCGACGACGACGACGACGACGACGACGACGACGACGACCTTGCAGGACTCCGCTGCGTACGGGGCGCTCGCGATGGTCGCGGCCCCCAGCGGCGCCGTCGGCAGCCTTTTGAACGTCGCCGCGAGGCACGGCTTCTACTCCTTACCCGTGAGCTGGTTGAAGGAGGTCGCCGACAGCAGGGAGCTTGTATATGCGCCCCCGTCTCTGCCAGCGCTCTTGCAACGCCTGTGCAAGGCGTTCATTCCCGATTTGACCGACGAGCTGATGCTGGAGATCATGGAGATGCGCTTCAGCGGGTTTGACATGGACTCGGCAGCGGGGGACATGATGCACTTCGAGTGGGTCCTGGACTGCCTCGACAAGACCACGGCCGATGAGATGAGGAACGAGCAGAAGGAGTCGAAGGGCAAGCTGGCCGCCCGCCGCGACTACAAGGAGGAGCTGGACCGCTTCAAGGATTGGGCTAATTCATCGTCGTCGTCGCCGTCGCAGCTGCCTTAATCGTCGTCGTCGTTGCCGTCGTCGTCGTCGTCGTCGTTGTCCTCGTCGTCGTCGTCGTCGTCGGCGGCGGCGGCGGCGTCGGCGTCGTCGGTGTCGTCGCCGTCTTCGTCGTCGCGGTCCTCGTCGCAATCTCTCCTGCTGCCCCTCCTTATCCTCATCCTGCCCCTGCCCTGGGGAGCTGCCCCTCCTGCTCCTGCTGCGCATCCTCATCCTCGTCCTTATCTCTCCTGCTGCCCCTCATTATCCTCATCCTTCTCCTCATCCTACACCTTATCCTCATCCCTATCCCATCCTACTCCTTATCATCATCCTTATCATACTCCTTATCATCATCCTTATCTGATCATACTGCTTATCAGTATTCTCATCATTATCATCATCCCTATACGTATCATTATCCTTTTCCTGCTCCTTATCCTCATCCGTATCCCTATCCTCATCCTTATATCAGCCTGCTCCATATCTTACTCATGATCCTCCTTCTTATCCTCCTCCTTATCTCATCCTACTCCTTATCATCATCCTTATCCTCATCCTACTCCTTATCATCATCATACTCCTTACCCTCATCCTTATCCTCATCCTTATCGTCATCCCTCCTTATCATCATGCTTATCTCTCCTGCTGCCCCTCCGTATCTCTCCTGCTGCCCCTCCTTATCCTCGTCCTGATCTCCCCTGCTGCCCCTCCTCGAATGCCCCTGGTACATCCGCGCCCCGCGGGCCCTGGCTCCGAGCCCACTCGCCCTCTCGGCCGTCTCCCAAAGGGGGGGCAGGGCACATCGGGAGGACACTGGAGGTAGTTGGGGGAGGAGCAGGGATGGGGAAGGACATAGATGGGGGTAGGAGCATCAGGAGGACACAGGAGATAAGAGTTGGTGGAGGAGGCCCCTGACACGTCTGGGCAGCTTTGCCCACTTACCCGTCGGGCCACCGCTGGCCGTCTTGCTGTGGCCATCTGACCTTTTTTATGCCTTGGTCCGTCACCCGTGACATCTCGGCAATCACGCTTGCCCGCCACTCGTGCCATCTTGCATTATTGTGATATTGGCCTCCTTGCGTGGTCACCCCCGTGATCCGCTTGGCATTGCCTCATCCATGCGCCCGCGGCCCCGCCGCGTCGGGCCCCATTTGGTTTTCCGCAACGCCTCAGCGCCCCGACCCGCACAGGCCCACATTGCCATGCTGCCATCCTGGCCCCGAGGCCGTCGCGCTTTTCACGTTGTTGCTCGGTTGAACTCTTGGCCCTCTTCGCCTGGTGACGCTCTGACCCTGTCGCCGCATTCCTTAGTGCCCCACTTGCCCCCATGCCCGCATGTGGTCGCGACCGTCGTCGTCGTCGTCCTCGTCGTCGCCTTTTGCGTCGTCGTCGTCGTCGTCGTCGTCGCCGTCGCCGTCGCTGTCGCCGCCGTCGTCGTCGTCGTCGTCGTCGTCGGTGTCGTCGTCGTCGGTGTCGTCGTCGTCGACGTCGTCGTCGACGTCGGTGTCGTCGTCGTCGTCGGCGTCATCGCCCGTTGCCGTTTCCGAAACGGCGACGACGCCAACGACGCCGACGACGACGACGGCGACGGCGACACACAAGACGACGACGACGCCGAAGACGACGACGACGACGACGACGACGACGACGACGACCGCGACGACGAGGACGACGACGGCGACGACGACGACGCAGAAGGCGACGACGTCGACGGCGACGCAGGAGACGGCGACGACGACGACGACGACGGCGTCGAGGGCGCCGCGGGCGTGGGAAGGGGGAGCGCCGCGCAGCCCCCGAGGTCGCCGCGCGCGGCAAGCCGCCGAAGTCCGTGAACAACCCCAAGCACCCGTTGTACAAGCTGAAGTTCGGGGCGCTCCCAGCTGCCAAGAACGACATCCCCCAGGATCAGGCCAAGCGCCTGCTGCCCCCAGGCGCTTTTATCTGGAGGGCGAATACAACGGGCCACTGGAGGTTCCATATGCCAGGGCTACGTTTTCAGGGACAGGCAGCCTGGAGTCGTTTTGGTGGGGACCCCTATCGTGCCATGCTCGATTGCGTGAGGAGGTGTTGGTCCAGGTACTTAGGGTATCACCAGTTGCCCGTTGAGCAGTGCCCGATCGCAGGGCTTTTCGAGGTCGGTGCCCGATGCGTTCTCTCGGGCCCCTGGGGGGCGGGACAGGTAGAAGGGAGGTTGGGCGGGATTCGGCTTGGGCTCGCCAGAGATCTCATGCGAATGCGAGGGTGGCCAGCCATCGTGCGATGCACGGCGGCGGTGCATGCTAGTTCGGCATTGCAGGCGGCCCAGCCTGTTGCCGAGCCACGGCGGTCGACTCGAGACGCGGGGTGTTTCGATTCGCAGGAAAACATTCAACGCGTTCTCTCGCACGCGTTGGGCACTTTGGGGCAGGGGCAGGTGAGCTTCGATGTATGCGGGGAGGTTCTCTGCATCATATCATTCGAGAGTTGCGCCCAGGGTCGCGCATCAGCTCCCAGGGGCGCCCAGGTCGCCTCGTGGAGGCGAGGTTGGCAAGGCAGTGTGATTGTTTCCGTTCAGAAGGACTCCTGCTCAGGCAGGTGCAGTTTCGGGGGGGAGGGCCGCCCGCTGCTTCCTCGGCGTCGGGCGCGCGACGGGCTTCCACTCGGGCGCCATGCCGACCTTGGCCAGGAAGCTTCAGGGTGGCAGTATTGACATCCAGGAGATCTTGTGGTCGGCATCCTTCCCCAAAGGTGTGCCTGGAGCATGCGGTTTGTCGGCGCGGGCTGCCCATGGGTCGGGCGGGAGTCGAGTCGATCGTTTTGAGCGGCACCATGGTTGGCGGGATGCGCAAGGGGGAGGGGGCGGCCGTGGCGACATGCAGGTCCTCGCGGGGCCTTGCGCGTTCCTTGCCCCGCCCGCCTTCCTGCTCCGCCTGGGCGATTGTTCACCCCCCCTGTCGCGGCGGATCGCAATCTCCGCGCCGCCCCATCGGCCGCTCGCCGTCGCCCGAGCCCGCGAGACGCCCACTCGCCCTCCACCCTTCCGCTCACATGCGTGGCTCGCTGCTCGGGGGCGGCGGGGGAGGGCGCTCGCCCCGCGCGCCGCCTCCCCCCCATCCCGCCAGAGGAGTTCGAGAAGAACGGCCGCCTCGAGCCCTGCGCCCCGTGGAACTACTGCCAGAGCATCGTGAGGGGCCCGTTGTGGGACTCGTCGGGCTACGGGGACATGGGCGGCGGCGTCGGGAAGCTCGGCGTGCCCCAGCGCCCGAGCATGACGGACCTGAAGGATTGGACCGCGATCTTGCTATGGGGCGACTTGGCTGACTTCGGACCGAGGAGCAGTGCCACTAACTTCTGCGAGTCGGGGTGGTGGCCCAATCGTTCGATCAAGGCCTTCTTCCCCGTGACTGGGATCGAGAAGTTTCTGAAGGCGGATGACGAGGGGTGCTGGGGCGTGTTGGTCGTGACGGGGATGAGCCAGATCACAGTGAGCGAGCGCTGCAAGATGATCTCCGGGGTCGCAGCTGACGTGAAGGAGATATTGACAGCATGGGCGCCGCATGAGATGAGGGCGTCGAGGCTGCGCAAGGCGGCTTCCAGGGCGGACATCCAGTGGCTGATCGCGCAGATCGAGGACTGGGCGGCGGAGTCCATCGGATTGGCCACGCGCGCGGAGTGGAAGGATCTCAAGCAGCAGGATGCGACGGCGAGTCTGGCCGACACCACGAACAAGGCGCCACTCTCCTCCTTCCCGTGGGCAGGGGGGAGGAAGGATGAGGAGGCGGAGGAAGGGGTGAGGGAAGGGAGGGGGACAGATGATGAGGAGGAGTCGGAGGGAGGATGGAGGAGGAGGATGGGGGGAGGGATGAGGAGGGAGTATGAGGATGAGGAAAGATAATGGCCTCCCTGGATGAGTTGGAGAGGCAGGGGGGCCCTGGGCGAGTAGCTGGCCAGGGGAAGTGGGGGAAGTCGGGGGAGGCAGGACGATGAGTGAATACATGTGGGAAGTATGGGGTCGGGGGAAGTAGGAGGAGTGAGGATTGGGGTATGCATTGATTAGTTGGAGGAGTGAGGAGAGGAGGGGGAGTGGGGGGTGGGCGCAGGTGGGAGTAGGAGGAGCGCGGGGTAGTCAAGGGAAGTAGTGGAAGTAAGAGTGAGTAGAGCAAGAGGAGGAGTAGGAGCAAGGAGGAGGCCCCTCCCCCCATCCCCGCCGCAGGCCAAGCGCAAGCGGAACGACGACGACGACCGGCCGAAGGGCGCGCGCGGCCGCAAGAGCAGCTGAGAGGTCACCGATCGGGATTGCTAGAAGACCTCCGTCGCAGGCCACCTGCGCGCCCCCGCTGGCGAGACAGCTTCGGCGCGCAGGTGGGCAGCGGCGGAGTTCGGCTGGCAATTTCGCGTCCCAGGTGATGCTGATCAACGCGATGGTGCACAGCATTATCGTCTAGCGCGGGGGGCCGCGAGCCCCCCCCTGGGTTGCAGGAGGGCGGTGATGATGATGGGGAGCAGGAGGAGAAGGAGGAGGAGGAGGAGGAGGAGGAGGAGGGGGAGGAGGAGGAGGAGTTTGGGGACGAAGGGTAAGGAGTGGGAGGTGCGGCGAGGAGTGGGAGTGCGGGAATAGCTGGGGCCTCGTCGTCGTCGTCGTCGTCGCCGTCGCCGTCGCCGTTGCCGCCGCCGCCGCCGCCGCCGCCGCCGCCGCCGCCGTCGTCGTCGTCGTCGTCGTCGTCGTCGTCGTCGTCGTCGTCGTCGTCGTCGTCATCGTCCTCGTCGTCGTCGTCGTCGTCGTCGTCGTCGTCGTCGTCGGTTGGCCTCTCCCGAGCTCCCTCCTCAGCCCAGCTGTCGGGCCCGCGGGGGCGCCCGCGGCGAGACTCAGCGCGCGCGCGAGCTGGCGCGACGAGCTTGCGCGGCGGTGTGGGGGAGAGAGCGCCCCCTCCTCCTCCTTGACCTTCCTGCCTCCTGCCTCCTGCCTGTTCCGTCCCTCCCCCCTCCTCTCCCTCCTCCTTCCCTCCCGCGGGGTCCTCTCTCCTCTGCCTCCTCCCTCCCTCCCCCCTCCTCCGCCCCCTCCTGCCTCCTGCTTCCTCCCTCCTCCCCAACTCCTGCCTCCCCTCTCTCCCCCCTCCCTCCCGCGGTGTCCCTCTAGTAGCCTCGGTGCGATCGGCGCCCCTCTCGTGAGCGTCGGCTGGATATGCTAGCGGCCGTCGTCTCGCGGGGCCCCTCAACTGGGGGGGTGGCCCAGGGCGGCGGGACCAGTACTGGGGGTGGCTCGTTACGTTATCATTCGTCGATCTGTCCGCGAGGCGTCGCCGATGTCCAGTCAGCAATGTCCAGGGCTCGTTCCGATTCCTCTCGGGTTTGGCTCGTTCCGATGTCGGATGGGCTGCGACTCCGATTCGGCCCGGCGTTTCGGCTTCCGATTCGGATCCCGACTTCTCCATGAGGCCTTACTGCCCTGCCGATGTCCGCCAGTTGAACTCCTCCTGACTTGGCTCCGATTCATTTCGGTCGCCGATTCGACTTATCGATTTTATTCGGGGCTCTCCTGTGTCCCCCGCCTTGAGCCAGTCCCCCCTATCTTTCCCTTGTAGACAAGACCGCCAAGGGCGGCTCTCAGCATCTAGCTGGTGTCGGCTCCGAGGGAGGAGCACCAGGGAGTCCCTGACGTTCACGGACATCTGAAGTTTTCGGACGTTCTCTTCGGGTCCCGCAAATTTTCCGCCCGCGGGTTGCTTTCCTGCGGCGTCGCTTCGCCGAGGGCGACCTGGGTAGTCCTGGATCGTCCCGAGTGGCCAGCGAAGGCCGTACGGCCCGAACGCCACGAGAGTGAAGAGTCAGGAGGACTTGGAGGAGGAGACGGGGGAGGAGGAGGAGTCAGGAAGACTTGGAGGAGGGGGAGTCAGGAGAACTTGGAGGAGGAGGAGGAGGAGGAGGAGGAGGAGGAGGAGGAGGAGGAGGAGGAGGAGGAGGAGGAGGAGGAGGAGGAGGCGGAGGAGGAGGAGGAGGAGGAGGAGGAGGAGGAGGAGGAGGAGGAGGAGGAGGAGGAGGAGGAGGAGTCAGGAGGACGAGGAGGAGGAGGAGGAGGAGGAGGAGGAGGAGGAGGAGGACTTGGAGGAGCCCAGAGGCGGTGTCCCGCCCAGGTGAGCGTGGTCTCCGCCGCCCGCGAGCTGTGCGCGGTGCGCAACGCCGCCCGGGTGCCTCGCGGGCTGCGCGGGCAGCTGCTGGGCGCCGAGCTGCCGGGGGAGCACCAGGCGGACCCCGACGTGTCCGGACGGTTTCGCCGCTCGTCGGCGGCGCGCTCAAGAGGGCGTCGCAAACGGGGAGCGGCTTTCTGCGAAGGCGGGGGAACCTCCGAGGAGGCGGGTGGCTTCTCAGAAGAGCCCTCCAGCCTGCCTGGAAGCCTCCGGGCCCTTCTAGGCAGGCCCGCCTTTGAAGACGCTGCCCCGCCGTCCTTGAAGGCCGCACCCCTTCGCGTCACCCCCTTGTGCGCGTAGCCAAGTTCGGGAAATGTCTAGGGCGTTTCGTCAGGTCTTGGAGGACTTGCAGCGGCGGGGTGCTTTCCTGCAGCTGCGCCCTGCCCGGGGCGTTCCCGGAGCGTGTCCGCACCGCCCCGCAGGGCCGCTGGGGACCCGAATTGATGTCGTTACGACCCCGACACCTGACATTACGGGCCTAGATGTCAGGTGTCGGGGTCGTAACGACAGGGACGCCTAAATCTTAGGCGCCGTGAGAAATCGCGACAGAAAGTCGGGTTGCAGTTTCCGCCGGGAAAAGGTGAAGGAAGCAGGTCCCCGGGAAGGGGTCCATGCCTCTGAGGAGCCACGCTGCGGCGGTAATCCTGACGTCTAGGCGCTTCAGGGGATAAGTGCACACCAACAGCGGTACGTTTCCCTCGTCTGCGTCGTCCTGGGCTTCCCAGGGATCCCTCGTCGCCATACCACGCGTTTTCTGGTGGCGCGAAAAATGTGTTCAGTTTCAACCTGGCATCTGATGATGTTTCTTTCAGGCCCATCAATCATTGGCAACGTTAGGGGGTAAAGGCTCAGCGGAGATGCATCGACCTCCAATCGCCCATTCGTTGCCGATGGGGGCTCGATAGCCCCACCCAGCGTGGGAGCGTGCGGACTTGCGATCGGGGAACCATCGCTGATCTGTCGGCGGTGTATCGCCCATTCCAAGTCGATATTTCTTCCCTGAGCTGGTCCCCCTCACTAACGTCTGTGGTGTTCCTGCCATTTTCTCGTGCATCTGGACACCCCACGAGCCAGTGGGTTCTGGGGCCGTTTTGGACAGTCTTTGTTTGCGTTTTCCCACCGTGCTATTTTCGCTGGTTTGAGCGTTGTTCTTGCAAGCCCGTTCGGGCAGCCACCCAGCGTGAAGCAACACACGATCAAGCATCGGCGTTATATTGAGGACTGCCAGAAACGCGCAGAATACTGATCAGAAAACGGGGCAACAAAGGCTGTCCGTTTTTGTCTTTGCTCAGCTCTCCCCCAAAAGAACAGCCCCTCACGAAGGGCGTTATCAGAGATAACCGACTTAGACATCCGATGCTGTATTTTTATCCGCAGCGGGGCTCCCCAGGGAACAGTTTTTGTTGCAGCCCTGGGGCCCGGCAATGGCCCTTGGATGGCGAGCACGATGACAACACGCAGTTTGTTGTTCTCGTTCGCGACGCGGGGATGCCAAGGTCTTCCGCCTCCGCCTCATCCTCTGGCTCCCCCTCGTCCTCCTCCGTATGCGTCAGGCAATCTTGGATCAGCTAGGATCGTAGCCAGGCAGGTGCAGGCGTGCTGGCCCGACCGGGAGGAGGGTGCCTCGTAGGCGCCCCCTCCCGCGCCCCCGTCGCTCCCCCCAAACCCCCAACCCGCCCCCGCCCGCCCCCGCGCACGCGCGCCTAACGGCGGGGTCTGGTGGCTCACACCCCGCGGCTGTGCCCCCCTGCCCCACCGCTGCCTGCCCGACTGCCCCCCTGCCTTGCCTGCTTGCCTCCCCCCCTCCCTCTCCCGGGCCCGGAGGCCGCGTGCAGTCGCCCCGAGCACCCGGTGCTCATGAAGCGATTCGTTTCTCCCTCCTTCTCCTCCGCTTCCTCCCTCCTCCTCGTGCCAGCCCCGTCTCACAATTCTCGTGCCAGTTCGACTGCACCCCGGCGAGTTGTTCAGCCGGCGTCTTTTTCTGGCGAGCGGCCCCGTTCCAGCCGCAAGCTCCGGAGCCCCACGCGGGTCCAGACAGCCCCAAGACGACCCGCCACGCTTGCTTATTGGTCGTATATGTGAGGGGTCGGACGGGCCAGCTTTCGGCACCAGGTCGTCCTCCTCGTCCTCCTCGTCCTCCCTGCTCCTCCTCCCGGCCGCGCTTCACGATTTTAGCGGCTCAGAAAGTGAAGTGTTTACCCGGATTGAGGGCTGCCCCGTTACAGCGTGGGGCTGCCTCGGCATCCTGCTTGGTGGCCTGAGCGGTGGCCCGACTGGCTCGCCCTGTCCCCGTCCTCCTTCCCGCGCCTTCCCCCTCGTGCCGGCCTTGTCTCACGACTTTTACTGGCACTGCGTGTGGCTCACTTGCTTGGGTCAGGGGCGCTCGCCCGCAAGCATTTGAGTTTTAATGATGATGAGAGGAGCTTTCTTCATCCTGTGGTACGATGGCAAACAACTCCTTGTTGCAATGAAGCCGAAATCAGGTGAGCATGTTCACCTTCATGCAGACTGAGCGCCGCAGGGTGTGCGAAGAGCATCCGAAAAGTGGAGAAGCACGCGAGGGCGAGAGTATTAGCACTCTGGTGATGGCCAGGTCCGCGTTCTCCCCCTTCCTCTCGGGACGACCGACATGGGTACGGAAAGAATGGGCACAACGACCGACAGCAGCTCCCGATCTTTCTGAACAGGACTCCCTGTCGGCGTCGCCGCGGACTGTGTCCATTTGATGCAGGAAGCCGCCAGCCCAACAGCGGCCGCTGTTGGTTTGGGACAACACTGGCCGTTGGGCAGGGTACCGAGTCGTTCCGTACCCATTCCGGGCGTCCAAATCCCCCTCCCTTTCGCCCTAGGAAACCCGAGACTTACATTCGGGCGAGGAGGACTTGATTCGGGGAACCCTGCTTGCAGCGGTGTCCCCGAGCGGTTCTCCTGCCTCGCCCTCCCGATGTCTGCCGGCAGGGGCCCCCTCCTGCTGCCCCCCTGGCAGGCGGAGCGCGCGGAGCCGTGGACGCCGCTCGGCGAGGCCCCTGGGCCTCGGCCGCCCTGGAGGAGGAGGGAGGAGGGAGGGAGGGAGGAGGGAGGGGGGAGGGAGGGAGGAGGAAGGGGGGAGGAGGGAGGGAGGGAGGGAGGAGGGAGGGAGGAGGGAGGAGGGAGGAGGAGGGGGGAGGGGGGAGGGAGGGAGGGGGAGGGAGGGAGGGGGGGAGGAGGAGGGAGGAGGAGGGGGGAGGAGGGAGGGAGAGGGAGGGAGGGAGGATGGAGGAGGGAGGGAGGGAGGAGGGAGGGAGGGAGGGAGGAGGAGCCCCGAGGCGGCCGGGGCGTGAGGCCGGGCAGGCCCGCGGCGCGTCGACCCGGCGGCGACTGCCGCGCGGGCGTTCGGGGCTGGTGAGCAGTGGGGAGCCTTAACTCAGCCCCCACGCGGCGGCGAGCGTCGGGTGCTTCCTGTGCTCCGCGCCTTGGGCTGCGTTGCGGCCGGCGGAGTCGGCGTGGGGATGCCACGCCGCGTCCTCCTCCTCCCTCGTCCTGGCTGCTTGGTTGGTTGATTGGCGCACTTTCGTGCGTGCCAGCGGCGTGTGGCCGCTCGGCGTGGGTCTGGGCGCGCGCCTGGTGCACAGCGTTGTCTCATTGCCCACCCACTCCACCCTGCGCTGTGCTCTGCGGGCGAAGGGGGGGGAGGGTGAGAAGGGGCGGGCCTTCTCAGAAGTCTCGGAAGTTTCGTGTCCTTCCGGGAAGTTTCCTGAGCCTTCCCCGAGGGCAGGAACATCTTCTCAGAAGGCGCGAGGGCTTCTGAGAAGTCCCGCCGCCTTCTGAGAAGGCCGTCTCCTTCTCGTCTCCCCCTCTAGCCCGCCGCCTACCCACAGCAATGGATTTTAGATGTCAGTGTTTTGCAGTTGCGGCGGAGGTGCGTAAGTCTAGGCGCCCTGTAGGCGAGGCCACTGCCAGCTGCCGCAGGGCGGGGATGGCCCGCGCGCGCGGTCGAGCTGGCCTACAGTTCATCATGTGGGGCCGGGGGGCGGTCTTCACGCGTTCGGCTTCACGCGTTCGGTTGGACGCCGCCAGCGTCCCAGAGTCGACGCACACCGATCATCGAAGAAGAGCAGGACGCCATAAGCATAGGCTTTTGGCGCTCCGCGCAGATTTCTTGGATCCGCGCTGGGCCCCCCGGCGGCGCCTCCGGCGCCAGGGAGGGGGCTCCAGCGCAGATCAAAGAACCCCGCGCGGAGGGCCAAAAGCTTATGCTCATGGCGTTCTGCTCTTCTTCTCTCGAAGAAGAACTAACTGCATGAGCATCAGCTCCAGGAGGTCCGCGCAGATGTTCTTGGATCGGCGTTGGGCCCTCTGGACTAAGTCGGGCCTGTCCCTCTAAGGGGGGCGTATTCAAAAATAGTAAAAAATAGTCAGGGGACTTTAAAAAATATGTTGGGGGCATCTTTTGAGTATGTTTGAATTGTTTGTTTTATGTGTTGTCCAAAATCCCCCTGTAGGGGGACAGGCCCGACCTAACCCTGGACCTCGGGCGCGCCCTGGGACGCCAGGGCGTGGCGGGCGGCAGGCTCGTGCCGCGTCGACGCGGCGGCGACTGCAGCGCGGGCTCGGAGGGCGCCACCGACTCGGCGGCTACAGTTAAGTCGGGCGTGTCCTTCCTCCTCCTCCTCCTCCTCCTCCTCCTCCTCGTGCTCCTCCTCTGCCTCATGCTCCTCCTCCTCCTCCTCCTCCTCCTCCTCCTCCTCCTCCTCCTCCTCCTATTCCAAAATAATTTAAAAATAGTCTGGGGTTGGTTGATTTATGCTGTTTATGTTGTTAATATTTGTGAGGTGTTTTTGAATTTCCCTCCCAAATACCCCTATAGGGGGACGCCCGACTTACGACTACTGCACAGGGTGTGGTTATGCCGGGATATAGTTTACGATCTGTGTCATTGGGGCCGGAGCACTACGCCGGCCTCGTCGGGCTTCCTCAAGGCGCAGCGGAGAACTCTGTCAAGGTCCTTGCCCGCCCCCCAGGATGCGGGTTGCAAACCACGCCCTGTGCAAACCACATCCCTCGAAGTTGCAAACTATGCGCCCACGGTTGGCGTTGGAAAGATAGCGTGCGATGTGGCGCTGCTGGCCCTCTTACTACGCGCTATCCCCCCACCCTTGGGGATAGCCTGCGGCGACGCAGCCCTGGCAAGGGGGACAGCGCGCACAGAAGGAGTCCTCGCGGGGGGATCGCCGCACAGGGACAGCGCCCTTTTCGGATATCGATGCCGCACGCTATGTTTCCAACGCCAACTGCATATATTGGGTCCATCGGAACAGGAACAGGGCCGCACAGGGCAGGCAGATATTGGGTCCATCGGAACAGGAACAACGCCATAAACAGAAACTTTTGGCGCTCCGCGCGGATTTCTTGGTTCCGCGCTGGGCGCCCCTGGCGGCGCCTCCGGCGCAGATCCAAGAATCCCGCGCGGAGCGCCAAAAGTTTATGCTCACGGCGTGTTGCTCGTCTTCTGATAGGGTACAGGATCGTTGTACGCAGGCCTTCCTCGCGAAGCCAGGATGGCGCATCCACCAAAATCCTGGGCCCGGGATGGGCGGCGTGGCCAGGATGGATTCTCGCAAGGGCGTTCGAGGTCGAGCGCTGCCGGTGCCAGGAGGGGAAGAAATGGTTGCGTCGGCGGCCCGGCAGAGGACTTGCGCTGGCGGCAGAGCGAACTAAACGGAGGCACCGTTGTAGCGAATTGTGCCTGAATGCAAGAAAGGTGGAACAAGGGGGGGCAGGGCGGCCGAAGGAGGGGGAGGAGGAGCGAGGGCCGCTCCTCCTCCCCCTTATGGAGGGGACAATAACAAAACACACATACACGCCCACGCACACACACACACACATTCACACACACACATACATGCATGCAGACAGAGACAGACAGACAGACAGACAGACAGACAGACAGACAGACAGACAGACAGACAGACAGACAGATACATGCATGCATGCTTGCATGCATGCATGCATACGTACATACACTGCCGATCCCCAAGGACATATGGGAAGTGAGAGGGAAGACGAAAACCCAGAAAATATTTGAAATGTTTGCGAATCTTGGGATTTGTGTGTGTATTTGTGTGTTCATGGGCCCCTTTACAGTGGCCCAGAGTCGGCGCACATCAGGCGATCTGCGCCATCGGAACGCCGCGACCGTGCAGAGTGGAGCGATCCACGCGGACTGGGATACCCAGGTGAGAATCATTCGTAGGTCGACACTTCCAAATTAAGGGTGTCTCTCTTTGTGGCGTGGACCTCGAGGCAAGAACACTGCAGGGAGTTGACGAAGAGTTCGGCAGCGTCAAAGAGGGGGTGATGACTGGGGGCGTGTGGATATCATGACCAGGGCCATGAGACCTCCCTGGATGTCAGCCCCCCCTCTTCTTGTTTCGATGCCTCCCCTGCGTCCCCCATTCCTCCGCGCGAATGCCTACGGCCATGATTGTGACCCCCCTCTTGGATGCCCCTCTCTTGTCGACGCCGAGCCCGGGGGGAAGTGAGAGGAGGCAGGCCTTCTCAGGAGGCAGCGGGGCTTCTCAGAAGCCCTCCGGCTGGCTGAGAAGCCGCCTCTGCCTTTGAAGGCTTTAGAATTATCCTCAGAAGGCTCGAGGGCTTCGGAGAAGCCCCGCTGCCTGCTCCCCCCGCTCTGTTCCCCTCGGGCTCGACGCCGATTCTGAACACCCCTCGTGGGTTTCCAGTGGTGGCCCGATCCGATTAGATTACGATTTCCTGACGATCCAATGCGGCTCGATGCTTACATGGCGTTGTTGTGCATCCTGGCGCAGCGGCTCCGTGATTTCGATTCCGTGCCGATGCAGTCCGATCCAACGCGCATTTCGGTTCGCTCCGAGTGTTCGATTCGATGCTGACTGATCCTGCCTCTGTTGGACGCCCTCCGTGGCGGTCCGATCTTGGCTTCGCAGACAAAGGATGTCCTGATTTGCTTGAGTACAGGGTCCCACGAGGTCCCGACTCCTGCCCCCAGGCTGGTCTGCCATCCTGAGTTGTCTTTTGGGGGGTGGACAGAACCCCCACCCTGACACGTCGATTAGTGGATTGTCCGTTTTCGGTTCTCGAGAGGACGCCGCGGCCGTCATTTTCCAGGCTTGCGCCCGCCAGGTTTTGGCCCGAGGTCGTTTTCACTAAACCACGTAATACTACGGGGGTTCTGTCCATCCCTGATTGTCTTTTACGGTCCTGGGGCTTTGTGAGTGCCCCCAGAGGCCGAACATTGCCAAGAGCTTCCCGCCCCCATGATGTTCACGACGCCAGCATGTCTGGGTTGGACGCCCCCTGTGTCAGGGGCAACGGCAGGGGGGTGGATGGGCACAGGGGGGGTGCATCGACCCCCAGTGGCCCATTGAGCGCCGATAGGGGTGCGATAGCCCCAAGCAGCCCAGGAAGGTTCGGATCCACTATCGGGGGCCATTGCCGATCTATCAGCGCTGTGTCGCGGATCCCAGGTAGATGTTTCTCCCCTCATGCCAGCCCCCCCCCCCCATCGCCCATCACTCTCTGTCGCGTCAGCTCCCTCTTGGCTGGTCCGGTTGCGCTCTCTCCCCCTCTCTCTCTCTCCCTCTCTCTCTCTACCGCGCCCGTTTGGTTCGGCCCTTGGCCTGCCGGAATGGTTTTTTGGACCCGCTCCCACCCTCCGCGTTCTGCTCGTTGCCCTGCGTCGCTTTGGTTTCGTAGCCCCTCGCTGTGGGGGACTGGTGGGGGAGGAGGAGGAGAAAAGGATGAGGAGGAGGAGGAGGAGGAGGAGGAGGAAAAGGAGGAGGAGGAGGATGAGGAGGAGATGGAGGAGGAGGAGGAGGAGGAGAGGAGGGAGGAGGAGGAGGAGGAGGAGGAGGAGGAGCTTGGGCCCCGCGCAGGCCGAGGGCGGCGCGCCCATGGGCTGCCTGGCTCGCCTGAACGCCTCGCAGGCGCGGGCGGTGCGCGCTGCGCTCGGGCGGCCCGCGGGCTTCTCGCTGGTGTGGGGCCCGCCGGGCACGGGCAAGTCCACCACGTTGCTGTGCCTCAGCTGGAAGAGCAGGGATCAGTACGACCGGGATTCGGCGGCGAGCGAGGGGGGGGGGGGAAGTGAGAGGGAGGAGGCCTCCTCAGAATGCGGCGGGGCTTCTCAGAGTCCCTCGCGCCTTTTCTGAGAAGTGTTCTGTGTCTTCGTGGGAGGGTGGGAGGCTTAGAGGACTTCTGAGAAGGCCGGGGGACTTCCGAGCCTTTGAGAAGACCCGCCCCTTCTTACGTTCCCCCTCCGCGCTCGCCGCCAGAGTACGGTCCAGATGGGCGCGGGACGAATGAGTACGAGGACCCGCCGTAATTCTTGCCCGTTCGTTCTGAGCAGGGCTCGTTGTCGGCATCCCCGCGGATGCTATATCCCTTTGAGACAGACGGCCAGTTGTCCAGCAGCGGCCGCTGACGGTTTTGGATCATATGTTGTTGTGGGCATAGCGTACCCATGTCTTCCGTGCCCACGTCGGGCGTCCCAGCGAGAACATGTTGACCTCCTCGCGTCGTGAAGTACAAGGCGGGCGCTGAAATGCAAGTATCCCTGGGCTCGGGAGGGGCTCTGGCTTTCGGGCAGCTCTTCAGAGGTAGGGCGGGGAGCCCCTGTGTGGCCTCAGCGCTTCCCATGGTAGCGCGATGACTGTGATTGCGACGGCATGTTCTCGCGCGTTTTCTTCGACTCTTGGCGATTTTCCAACCTCGGGATGTTGTCTTGCAGCTGCGCCTCGCCAGGGGCGTTCTGGAGGTGCCTGGATCGTCCCGAACGGCCGCCTGAGTCCCGGATTCCCGAAGGCCAGAACTCCTCGCGCCGTCGAAAAATCACGACATAATCGTGTGGGCAGTTTCTGCCTCTTGAGGCCCTCGCTGGGCCCCAGCCCAGGACCGTCAGACATCGACTCGGGATGAGAAGCCACTCCCTGAGAAGGTTTCCAGACCTCTGGGGAGCCGCGTTTCGAAAAGCGGCGTAGGAGGTTTGGGAACGGCATACATTTCAAGCAGTGGCGAAGCGTCCCGGCTCGCCTGTAGCCCTACCGAACAATGTTATACGAACTTTTTGTGGTTCTCACGAAATAATCTTAGAACATTTCTGGCTGGGACTGTCCTGTTGTATCACATCGGGTTTATGTTCTAAGAACATTGTTTTTGTTATTGGAACATTTTTGGGTTCTACGAACATTTCGTGGTAGGACTATACGAATGCCGGGACGGTCGGTCCCTGCTCAAACATTTGCTTGTTTGTAGGTGCGCGATGAGTTATCCAGTCGGCCCTGGACCTCCTTGTCCGAGTGCGCGGATCTCGCCAAGGGGGGGCTCAGCACAGACCCGAACATCAAGTCTGGACCAACCGCCTCCTCCTCCTCCTCCTCCTCCTCCTCCTCCTCCTCCTACTCCTCCTCCTCCTCCTCCTCCCCCCCCATAATTGGCGTTCCCTAGACGGCCCTGGGCTTTTCCTGGACAACCCTGCCCTCTTCGACTCCTCTGGGCGCGTTGGCCAGAGGCCCTCACTTGTCGGGTGCTGGTTCGATTCTGGGGACGGCCCTTCGGAGAACGCCGCGCGGGCCTCTGACAGTAGTTCCTGCGTGCTGTGCGGTCTCTTGCTCTTCTGTCCATCAACGCGCTGCACCTGCAGGAGTTCGGTCGAAGAGAACTAAGCACATGCACCGATCCTGGCAAGGCCCATCCTCGACCCAGGATCGGTGCACATACCCTCCCGGCCAAGGTAGGAGACCGTATGCACCGATCCTGGGCTCAGGATGGCCTGGCCAGAATCGGTGTATGTGCATACTCCCAGAGATCCGATGTCGTGATGTTTTTCAGTACGCGGTCCCCGGAAGTCTCGACCCATCCCCCAGGACCGGCTTTTCATCCCGAGTCGTTTCTTGACGGGCCGGGGGCGCGCCAGCGAGGGCCCCTGGAGGCCGAAGACTGCGAACAGCCTCCGTCTTGAGTTTCTCAATGCGCTGGACCTCTGGGGTCCTCCTTTCCTCCAAGATCGGGCCGGGCGAAAGGGGGGGATCGGGAAAGGGGGGGGTACGAAATTTGCTGGATGCAGCTGGTTTCGGCCTCACCGAGGGGGACATTCCCCGATACATGGCCGCCTCGCGGCGCCAGGACCGACGGGAAAATCAGCTACGTGAGCTGATTCTCAAACCCCCCCTTTGCTATCCCCACCTTTCGCCCGACCCGACAGGAGTACGAGCGGCTGCACCGCGCCATCGAGCAGATCGCGCTGGAGCCGCCGGCCGGGCCCTCGGCGGCGGCCTCGGCCGCCGGGGCCTCGGCGCGGTGGCGCGCCGCCGTGCGCTGCGCCCCGCACCTGCTCGTGGCCGCGAGCTCGAACGCGGCGGTGGAGAGCCTCGTGGAGAAGGTGCAGAGGCACAAGTTCCAGGCGGGCTGCGGCCACTCCTCCTCCTCCTCCTCCTGCTCCTGCTCCTGCTCCTGCTCCTGCTCCTCCTGCTCCTGCTCCTCCTCCTCCTCCTCCTCCTCCTCCTCCTCCTCCTGCTCCTCCTCCTCCTGCTCCTCCTCCTCCTCGTCCTCCTGCTTCTCCTCGTCCTCGTCGTCCTCCTGCTCCTCCTGCTCCTCCTCGTCGTCCTCCTTCTCCTGCTCCTCCTGCTCCTCCTCCTCCTCCTGCTCCTCCTCCTCCTCATCCTCCTCCTCATCCTCCTCTTCCTGGGGAGATCCGAACCCCAATCTCGCCGATCCACGAATCATGCAACTCGAGGTGTGGCGGGGGGGGGTCAGGGCTCGGAATGCGTCGATCACGTGTGGACGTCCGAGCCCTACCTCCGCGTCCAAGCGGTCCAGGAGACCCGATGGTGGGTGAGGGTAGGTTTCCATGTCGCCACCGAGCTCAGAGTGCCTCCCGACGATCGAGGCTTTTGAGGTCTTTCGATATTTTGTCTTGGGGAAGGGCGGGGCGAAGTGGTGCGTCCAACAGCCGCGGGGTTTGATCCGCCGTTCTGGGACGCTTTTTTCCCAGTTTTTGGGTGGACGCATTCCGCCGCGCGTTCCAAGACAGCCGTTCGCCCCCAGGGCGCTCAGACCAGGGCGCCTGGACCGGGTCGCACTACAGTGGGGGGGGTGGGATACGGAACGGGGGGGTACGAACACCGCGGCGTGCACCTGGCTTGAGCCTCGCGGCTGGGACCTTCGATGTATACAGGCGTCTCCGGCGCCTCCACCGGGGGTGGGTGGGAAACGGAGGGGGGGTACGAATACCGCGGCGTGCACCTGACTTGAGCCTTGCGGCTGGTCGCCCTCCTCGACGTATACAGGCGCCTGGGGGGGGGGTACGAAAACCGCGGCGTGCACCTGGCTTGAGCCTCGCGGCTGGGCGCCCTCGATGTATACAGGCCACCGAGGGTGGGCGGGAAACGGAGGGGGTTGTACGAAAACAAATCAGCCGCGTGCACGTGGCTTGAGCCGCCCTCCTCGGTGTATACAGGCCGCCGAGGGTGGGTGGGAAACGGAGGGGGGGTACGAAAACAAATCAGCCGCGTGCACCTGGCTTGAGCCTTGCGGCTGGGCGCCCTCCTCGATGTTAGGCGCCTCCAGCGCCTCCACCGGGGGTGGGTGGGAAACGGAGGGGGGTTACGAACACCGCGGCGTGCACCTTGCTTGAGCCTCGCGGCTGGGTGCCCTCCTCGATGTATAGACAGGCGCCTCTGGCGCCTCCATCAGGTGTGGGTGGGAAACGGAGGGGGGGTGTACGAAAATTGCAAACAAATTGGCATCTGGAGGCGCTCTCGGCGGTCATCTTGGAGCTCTCTTGAGTTGTTTAGGGGGCCTCATGTGCCCTCTTGGGACCATCTTGGGCCGCTTGAGGGCCGTCTTGGCGGGTTTCAAGGTCATCTTGAACCATCTTGAGGCCCCCAAGAGGCCCAAGATGCCCTAATAGTAGATTTTCCATATGTTGTTCGCAGCTCTTTGGGCCATATAAATAGGGGCCCTCTTGGACCATCTTCGGGGCCGGTGGAGTCATCTTGGGGCCATCTTGGAGGCTGCTTGGGCCGTCATGGGCCCCCGAGAGTCGAAAAGGGCGAGAACGCCAAAATCTGTCAAACAACCTATGGAAAATATATGTTTGGAGCCTCTGGAGGTGCTCTGAGGAGCCCCCTTGGGGTCCTGTGGGGCTATCTTGCAGGCCTTCTGGGCCCTCTTTGGGCCATCTTGGGCTGATTTGGGGCCGTCTTGACCCGTCTTGAGGCCCTCGTGGCCTCCAGGAGGCCCAATATGCCCATCTTTTTAATTTATCATGCGTTTTGGTACGTCTTTGAGACCCGGGGTGAGGGTAGACAGAGTGGTACGCGCATGTGGCTCGACTCCAGGGGGGGTAGGGGGGATACATAAGAACGTGACACAATACAATATTTTGCAATTTTGCAATCATTCGATGTATTGGATAAGTTGCATTGGGGCGTTCGCCGAAAAGCGCTGCCGCTCAGCACGTCACCTCCGAACGTGGATTATATGGGCTTGCGCTACATCCGCCGACCGTTTCCTAAAACATGGTGCAGAGCGGGCGTTCCCGCAGGGCTGATGGGGCATTCCCGAGGCCTCTGTGGCCATCATGGGGTTGATGAGTGTGGACTCTTCGGCCGTCGAATGTGCTCGTAAGGCGGCGATTGGCCGGAATGTTTGCACCGTATTCAAACTTTTGATTTGCTGCACGCGCTCCCGCAGGATCGCCAGGGCCGCGCGTACGAGCCGTGGGGCATGGTGCGCATCGGCTCCGCCGCGCGAGGCGGCACGGAGCAGCTGCGGCACCTCGACCTGGACTCCCGGGTCGAGGCCCTGCTGTCGGTGGGCAGGGCCGAGGTGGCGGAGAGGCAGAGGCAGGCGAAGAAGAAAGCACCGCATACGGTTTTGGATTCGGCTGGGGGTCTGAGGTGGCCCAGCTTTTTGTTCCGGCCAGCAGGGGTGGGGGGGGCAAGATTCGAGGTTCCGGGCACCGTCAAGAACGGATCCAGCATGAGTAACAACACCAGATGGATCCCGGGTGGGATTTTGATAGGATTTGGCCCCATCCCCCCTTTGACATATTGAGGAGGCTTACGCCACTGAACCGATCCCCAGCCGAAGTGCGGCTTTGTGGCGATTTGGAGGGCGTCTTGAAGCCTCGTCAGAGTTTCGTGGGCGCTTGCTGGCTGTTCCTTGGAGTGGCGTGGGAGGAGTGGCCGCCGCGCAGTCGCTACTCCGCGCGTGGGGCTCACTTATCTCGGGCTTCTCTCAAGAGGGAGCACTGACATATTTTGCGCGTCGCGCGTGAAACGAGGTATTCCCAGAGTGACGTCGCGGATGGTCGACATTATTTTCTCACTTTTGGAGTCGGCGAGTGCCGGAGAAGGAGGGAAATGATGAAATATATGACGACGGTGAGAAGAAGGAGGAGGATATCGAGGACATCGGGACGGTTTGTGATGTTGTGCCGGCTTTGTTTGAGGCCCCTCGTTGTGCTGATGGGAGGTGTCTTAAGGACTCTCGGGAGCCTCCGGGGGGGGTCTCATTTGAGCCTTTTTGAGGGCCTCCTGGAGCTTGGGCGCGGCCCGCTGGCGGCCCAGGTGGCGGCCTCTTGGAGCTCTGTCGAGGCTCCCAGGAGGGTTTGGGGGCCTTGTTGGGGGCCTGTGGAGGGCTTCTTGAAGCCATGATGGGCGTGTTTGCCACCACCACCATCATAAGTTGGAGGGGGGGGTCCTCCTCCTCCGCCTCCTCCTCCTCCGTTTTCCAGCTGCCATCTGGGCCTAAGAGATTCTCAGGGCAGCCCAGACCGCCATTATGTCATTCCACCGTTCGTGCAGACAGAAGGGGCGGCGGCCCGCATGATGGCGGTGTGGACCGCTTCTCTCGCGGTGGTTCTTTTCAACATTCTTTCGGCGAAGCCCGACAGGCTGGCGGAGATATACGAGAAGGCGCCGAATTTCGATGCCATCATCCTGACGGGCACGTCGCGCAGACGCCGCGAGCCCGCCACCACCCAGCACCGCATCGGCGACACGCGCTACTATGACGCGGGCTGGCAGCCAGGCGACCTGACGGACCACTGCACGGGTAACATCATCGCTTTGCAGGGCAGGCTCCGACACGCGAAAATAATTGACTTGCAGGAACCGCCCGCAGAGTTCAGCGGCTGAGGATTCGCCATCACGCTGCAGCACCACGTCCAGATCATCCTGATCATCGGCGACTACAGCCCGCCGCAACCCACGAAGGGCAAGCACGCACGCAAGACTCACTTCGCCACGATCAGCCGCCTCTTCGCTTGGATGGACACGGTCAGCAAGCACAAGCCGCGCAACGCGGTACTGATTACAGCAGGGGGCTTGAACGACGGCATCGGCATCACTCCTCGGGGCGAGAGACCGATAACGGCAGCCATAGGCGAAGGCAGAGCACCACAACGACTACCAGGAGGCGCAGGACAGAAAGCCAGACAGCTCGCGGAGCTCTACAACCTGTTCGCCACGAACACGCTGGACAGCTGGCGCCCGACCTACTTCGGCACGGCCCACGCGAGCTGCATTGACTACATCATGCTACTGCAACACCTGACGGAGACGCTCATTTTACAAGGACCACTTCTACAACTGGGAGCACGACTGCAGCATTTCCCATGCAGAGCACGACGAGATCATGTGCCAGTCCGCGCCACCTTCCGACTTTCACTGCGACAACAAGTACGACACCATTCTCAGCCCCCAAAGTGGAACAGGGCCGACCTCTTGCAGGCGGTTCGCAATGGCTACCACCGAGCGGAGTTCATTCAGGACATTGAGAGGGCCATGGGGACGTACAACCCAGAGGGCAAAGGAGTGGACCAGCTTTTCAGTGACGTTGACGAGATTCTGATCACGGAGGCGCAGAAGCACTACTGCCAGACGCCCAAGCCGACGACCGAGTCCGAACGACTACGAGATGACAGCATGGTGCTACTGCGCAAACGACGTGAAGCCAGAGCTGCACTCTTCGCAGAGCACTAAGGTACCACTCCAGAGGCTGCGCGCCAAACCACAGATCCCGAGTCTTCCCAACCGACCCGATGGGACCGCCAGGACGGGGCTGGGGCCCAAGGGACCGAGACCCAGGGAGACAGAGAAACCCGAGACAGCAACCCATACGCCGATCCAGTGCCAGCACCCATCGCAGAGAGTGAATGTAAGATGCGCGACTTGGAGGCAGAAATTCGAAGTATCGCGAGACAGCGCCAGCAGATGAGGAAGATAGAGCACCAGAAGCGCACGGAAGCCAGGACCGAAGATATGTGCGAGGCATGGATACAGAGAGACTTGGCGCGAGTTGGAAGATTGTCCAGTTTGGTACCAGGAGGGCGCTACGGACCAAGCAAACGCGACTACTGGATTGCAACGACAGCGAACCCCAGCAAGCAGGAGTGGATCGAGTTCCGGCGGCAACCAGGAGGAGCAGGAGACATGGGCGGCGCCGAGCAGGGCCGCGAGACCATCGGAGGGACACCGCACAACGCAAAGGGGCAAGACTCCGACGAGGACGACCTCGAGGAGAAGGTTGAGGAGCACTACGCGGGGATTGCGAGGTCACTCAAACGAGCGCGGCTACGTCGAGCAGCACCGCTTACAGCTGCACCATCGGCGATCTGGCGACTACTTCTTTGCGACCGCGACCACGAGCAACCGCCGCGACAGCGACGGGGGCCTGGGCGCCGCCGCGACCACCTCGAACCCGAACAGCTTTAATCAGTGATCGAGGCAGCCCTGGCGGCCATCCGCATCCGCAATGTAACGCCAGTCCGCCAGCGCCAGAGCTCGGCGACCGCAGTCGAGAAGAACGGCAGGAGAATCTGCAACGTCGTGGACCCGTTCGGCAAAGCGCACTACGCGGCAGGGATATGGCGCCAGAGCGCCAGGACCTACAGTGACCAGGACTATGGCTTCACCAAAGGCAAGCGCCGCGAGGGGGCGATCTTGGCCGTGGCGGCAGTGGAGTACAGGGCCAGACAGTCAGGCTACAACCGCGCGCCCACCATAAAGGACATGTCCAACGCCTTCGCGAGCTGCTCGTGGATCACCATGGACGCCGCCAACAGCGACATCATGCCAGAGGACCCTCGCGACATAGGTGGGCAGCGCAACCGCGGGGCCGCGTTCGAGATGGCGCGCAGGGGCGCGGAACAGGGCGCGCGCATCAGGCCCATTGGGGGATTCATCGGCGACCCGTGCATGGTCAACAACTTCGTCGCCAGCTTCGCGCCGCGCGTGCGCCGATTGGTCCGAGATTGCAGCGAGACGATCATCAACGACAATTTGCTCTACGGAGATAGTGAACTATTTCAGCATCCAGTCTATGTGGGACTCACGAAGCACGCTGGCGACCTGCGCAAGATGATCCTTGGAGGCAAGTGCGCAGACGCCCGGCGCATGGCCGAGCAAGCCCGTGCCGTAGACGAGAAGCTCAACCAACGCTTGAGCGAGATCGGCTTCAAGCAGAAACAGGACAGCTAGGGGGCCATCATCTACTTCCAGGGGCCCTGCGCCCGCCGGGCACACCGCAACATCAAGAAGAAACCGCGGTGCAGATTGCCAGGCAAAGTGGCGGAGGCGGCGAGGTAGCTGGGCCCGTGCATCAGAGCAACCCAGAACTACCAGCACGAGCTTCAGAAAAGAGCGCAGGCCATGAAGAAGAGCTACTATGAGTGCGGCGGCTTCTGGACCAAGCGAGACACCCCCAGCCGATGGTAGCGAGCAGTCTTGATATGCAGAGCCATCAACACAGGCCTATCGTACATAGAGTGCTTCCTGCCGACGCCGGCGGAGTACCGAACGCTGCAGAGCGCGATGGAAACGCTCTTGAGTAAGGCGATGGCAGGCCGCGCGAGCACGGACCGAGCGGACGGCGCCGCCCGCAGCATGACGAAGGTCTTTCGCTTCTGGCAAATACTGCCACCAGCGGAGGAAGCACTGGTCCGCAGACTTGGCTGGACAAAGGCATATTGCGATTCCCGAGCAATCGTCGACAACTCGTCGTCACCTTGTTTGGACGCCTCGATTCCGAGGGAGCGGAGACTCGTCGGGACCGCATTTCGTCTTATTCGAATCAAGGAGAAAACGTCAGACCCGAGAACGAGAACGACGGAAACGAGCCGACGGCACGTGCGAACCGTTGGGCCCGCGGAAACGTGAACGACGTCGAGGAAGCGCGCCAAGTCCCGGAGAGCTTCAGAACGATCTTCGGGGAGCAGGAGATCACGATAGGTAAGATGTTCAGGCCGACGACTAGAGATAAGCTCCACCTTCCCGATTCGCGCGAGGTGAGAGCAGCTAAATTGACAGTGTCAACCCCCCCGCATGGACAGGCCCAAAAAGACGAACATACCGAATATCTGGTCCTCCAGGACTTCCAACCGTGGAAATGCGAACCCGGGGACTGAGTGGAAGAATGCGGCCTCCTCTTCTCGAGCAAGAAAGCGCTGAACAGCCGCGTCGTACGAAGTCATCATGATCATATATTAGCGGCTCTACTAACTACGAACAACGAGTGCATCCATTGCTACCAGGTGCTGAAAGCCGTGGGCCCGCATGGAAACATCTGGCCAGAAGGGTGATGACAGGATGCCGCAATCAAGACCGAACGAGAAACCAGTGCCATCCGTCGAAACCGAAAACAACGTGCCCGTTCTGCAGCCATCTAGCACTAGACACGGGCCCCTTCTTCGAGCATCGCTGCACGCGCATCTCGCGGCCACTTCTACGCCCGCGTGGAGCTGACAGCGCCCGCAGGGGGCGCCAGTGGCGCTGGCAGCGCCAGCAGGAGAACCGCCTCGCCCAGACCGCAGCCGCCAACTGCGACGCCCGCTCGGAGGAGCTCCCGATGGACCAACAGGAGGCGCGGCGCCCAACCGCGCGCAGGTGGTGGACCCCACGGCGCGCTTGGCGTTCGCGCTGGCCAGGGAGCAGGCAGACTCAACGGCGGCGGTGATGCAGACGTGGGAGATCGACGCGAACAGCGGCATCGCCAAGGCAGCGCTGGCAGCAGGACAAGCGTGCAACTAGCAGGCGCAGGGACTACGACGCCGCGCGGGCACGTGCGAGCAGGTGGACGCAGCGTCGCTGGGCTGCCCGCGCATCCGCGCCTGGACGGAGGTAGCGAACTACATAGGACGGGCCCTCGACGAAGGGCCAGAGCGCGAGCGCCCGGCGAAGCACTACCAGGATGCAATTTTATCTGGCAGCGCGGAGGCGGTGGCGGACGGCATTCCAGTTTTCAGGGCGCGCAAGAACAAAGGCAAAGACGGAGGAGCTCAGGAGCGATGCCGGTTCCAGTTATCGGTCAAGACCACGCTGCACCATATCGAGATAATTGCCACGCGCCAGCTGCGCACGGAGGGAGCCATTCGCAGGAAGGGATCGGCACCGAGGTGGGCGCTGGAGCGCGAGATGGGCCGGCTGAGCAACGGCCAGTAGAAGAGGTACGAGACACAGCTCATGGGGCAGTTCACCGTGATGCGCCCTAGGCAATTTGCCGCAGTGAGCGCGGGGCCGACGGCCACGAGAAAACAGCCCAGCTCTGTCCAGTTTCGAGGGCCCACGCAGCCCGTGCGATCCCGCAGGCCTTCAGGACTAGCGAGCGCTTCAGTACGCTAGTCAGGGAAGGCCGCCTCCCCACTCCTCCTCCGTCGACCGAAACGCCCGACCTCTACCAACACCGAGGCCAGAGTTTCCTTGAGTACTATGTAGTGCACCGACCTCCCCCCTCCCGAACCGAAGAGAAAGGGCACGGGGATGGGGGGGGCCGAGCAGGGGGGAAGAGGAGCGAACGAGAGGGATTTCGCAAAAGCGGGTGCGACCCTGCCCGCGACACCCTGGGTTGGGGGAGGTCTGCGCAGGTAGGGCCCGAGCGCCGCCTGCGACCCCCTTTTTTTCAGCAAGGACATCACAGCTAGGCCACCAGATTGTTGTAAAGCGGCGCAGAGCCCAGAGCGAGCGTAGCACCGTACTGGCCCGAGAGCTCGATCGATCGATCCTCCTCCTTTTCCTTCTCATCCTTTTCGTCCTCCTCCTCGCCCTCCTCCTCCTCCTTCCCCCCTCCAACTTATGGTGTGGTGGTGGTGGACAACAGGCTCATCAGAGCCAGTTGGGGGTTCGGGGGGCCATCTTCTGGGGGAGGGCTCCCAGGGCCTCTGCGGTTTCCCCCTCATTGGCCACTCTTGGTGGCTTTGTTCGAGTTCTGGTTGCCGTCTCTTTGGGCCTCTTGTGCCGTCTTGGGGCCCTCCTTGGCCCGTGTCGAGGCCGTTTTGCGGGTATCTTGGATTGGCTTGGGCCAATCTGGGGGCTTCTTGGGCCGTGTTGAGATTGCATGCGCCAGAGAGCTGAGAAAGCCGCGGAAATCATGCAAACGCTCATGGGGATGGGGAATCAGTGTTTCTTGCCTCTTGGTGTTCTCTAGCGGGGTCCTCTTGCGGCTTTGTTTCGGCGTCGTCGGCCGTTTTGAACCTATTTGTTCATATGTGTTTTTGAGGCCTCTCCGGTGCATTGGGGCTTTTCTACAGCCACTTTCGTAAGCTTTTTGGGATCTTGGCGGCTACGGGGTACGTTGGGGAGCCCGGGGTCTCCCCCCCCACCCTCCGCCCAACCAATTTTGACCCTGGGGGAGGGGGGAAGGGGAAAGGGGAGGGGGACAGCCAAATGTCTCACACGCCTTTCACTCCAGCAACCCGGGGGTCGGCGGATTTTGTTCGGTGCCCACCCAGCTCAGACACCCCCTGGCCGCCTCCAAATGCGGCTGGCGTCGCAAAGACGGCGTGCGATGTGGCACCGCCGGCCTTCTTATTGCACGCAATCCCCCACCTTGGGGACAACGTTCGCCCCGAAGAAGCCCGGGCACGGGATGGCGTGCACAGGAAGGACCCTCGCGGGGGGATCGCCGCGCAGGGATAGCGCGTTTTTCGGAGATCGATGTCGCACGCTATCTTTGCACGCTAACCGTAAACATAAGCTTTCGGATCTCCGCGCGGCTTCCTTGTATCGGCGCTGGGTCCCCCTGGCGGCGCCTCGGGCGCCGCCCCTAGCGAGCGCCGCGCGCCAGAGAGAGGGATCCAGCGCCGATCCAGGAAATCTGCGCGGACCTCCGAACGTTTATATTTATGCCCCTTTCTCTTCTTCCAGGAAAGTCCGCGAGGCCCTGAGCCAGCTGCAGAGGACTGCCACGAAGCCAGAGGGTCTTAAGGGACGAGGGCCCTCCGGGGGAGGTGTTTCACCCCGCCCCTTTGGCTCCCAGGGCTGCCCCCCTGGGACGGGAAGATGAGGAGGAGGAAGATGCAGAGGAGGAAGATGCAGAGGAGGAGGAGGAGGAGGAGGAGGAGGAGGAGGAGGAAGAGGCGGATGAGGGCCCTCACAGCGCGGCTCGGGATGAAGAGCTGATCCCAGGGGAGAGCCCTCAGGGATCCGGGGGCCCGTCTCCGAGGACAGCACAACCATTGGGCGTCGCGTAATGGGGGGGGGGGGGGGGGCGACGTTCCCCTATGTGCTGTCCTCAGTCTCCCTGCCATCGTGCCGAAGAGGAAAGTCGCGTCCCTGCGCGCGGGCATCCTGAAGCTGCAGGGCGTGGTGCCGCTGCCGAGCGGGTGGGAGGCCAGGCTCGCGAAGGCGCGGGGGCTTTCCCGGCGCTTCTGCGGGCCGGCCTCGGTTCGACTCTTGGACTTCGACGTTTCTGATGTCGCTTCGATTCGGCTCCAGATTCCGACCCCGACCTGGATTCCTCGGAAGAGGAACCCATACCGCTACTTGATGGCCGTTTCTTTTTTGAGCCTCATGGGAGGCCCTCGTCGCCACCGCTAGAATCGCCTCGAAATTCTGGTCAGAGCGTACCCCAGGAGAGGTCCGGGGGGCAGCGGTATCCGTACCTTTTGGTCTCCCCAATTCCGTCGTGCAACTATTTGGTCGTTTTTTCCTGGAGAACTTGCTGGCTCAAGGAAAACAAAATCATAGTCCAAGGGATGGGGTCTGATTTGGGGGAGGGTCAGATGTGAGCTGTCTTGGAGGGTTTTGGGGGGTGCTGGGCGAGAGGCTGCCCCTTCATGGCTTGTCTCTGGAGGTCCGACATGGATAGTCTGGACGGTTTTTGACCCCCGTCTCGTCTCGGGACGACGGGCGCCGATTCCCCAGATCCCCTCGGGCAATGAAAGAATCATCACGTGAGGGTTTTTCACAATGTTTGGCCTCCGGGGGCCCTTACTGGGCCTCGGGACCGTCGAAAAACGACTCAGGATGAGAAACGGGTGCTGGGGAATGGGTCGAGAACTCTGGGGGCCGACGTAATGAACAAATTCTTATGTCGGGGGTCTGGGTCCGAGGTTTCCGAATCTGCCTGCGGATCAGCTTCCGGTTCGGTGAGTGTTCGATGGTCGGACTCGAGGGAAGAATGACGGAACCATGACCAAGACGTTTTCGTATTTTGTCGATGTCGATCTCGGTCATGGTCCACGTCGGTCGTCGCGCCCGTTCGCGAAGATGATCCACGAAATGTCCCTGACCAAAATCGGCGGTGACCAAGATCGGCACGACGTTTCCGCGTTCAGTATCGGCCATGGTCCCTGTTATTTTCCCCTTCACGGACAGATCTTACGATTAGATTCCGGGCCACCCTGGATGGGCCGATTTTCCGCCACCACTACCATCGGTAGGAGAGCGGGGATGATGATGATGATGATGATGATGATGATGATGATGATGATGATGTTGATGCTGATGCTGATGCTGATGCTGATGATGATGATGATGATGATGATGATGATGATGATGATGATGATGATGATGATGATGATGATGATGATGATGATGATGATGATGATGATGATGATGATGATGCTGATGCTGATGCTGATGCTGATGCTGATGCTGATGCTGATGCTGATGCTGATGCTGATGCTGATGCTGGTGATGCTGATGCTGACGAGGAGGAGGACGAGGAGGAGAAGGAGGAGGAGGAGGAGGACAAGGGAGGAGGAGGAGGACAAGGGGAGGAGGAGGAGGCGGAGGAGGAGGAGGAGGCGGAGGAGAAGAGGAAGAGGAGAAGGAGGAGGAGGAGGCGGAGGAGGAGGAGGCGGAGGCGGAAGAGGAGGAGCAGGAGGGAGGAGGAGGCGGATGAGGCGGAGGCGGAGGAGGACGAGGAGGTGGAAGGAGGAGAAGGAGGAGGAAGAGGAAGAGGAGAAGGAGGAGGAGGAGGCGGAGGAGGAGGAGGAGGCGGAGGCGGAAGAGGAGGAGCAGGAGGGAGGAGGAGGCGGATGAGGCGGAGGCGGAGGAGGACGAGGAGGTGGAAGGAGGAGAAGGAGGAGGAGGAGGAGGAAGAGGAGGAGAAGGACCTCCCCGTCCTCTCTTCTCCCCCGTTTTACCTATGGTAGTTGCGGTGGGCAGCTGGCCCAGTAGCTTGGCGGAGGCGCCGTCTGACCGCATCGAGTTCCACAACCACGTGGAGCGGCGGGCGACGTGGCAGCACCCCGGCAGGCCAGCGGACGGCGACTCGGGGACGGGGCTGCTGGACCTCCAGAGGGTCCCAGAGGGGGTTGCAGTCGAGGCGCTGAAAGAAGGTCACGGGAGGAAGAGGTACGTACCGACACGTCCACCTTTCCCTCGTGATCACCGTTTTGGGCCTACTGGGAGTTCCTCGTCGCCACCGCTGGATTCGCATCGAAGTTCTGGTCAGAACGCACCCCGGGAGAGGTCTGGGGAGTAGCAGGTGTCGGTACGCTGTGGTTCCCCCGTAAGGACTACGTTGGGCTCAGGAGGGGCTACAGTCGGGGCGCTGAAGGTGGGAAGAAACCGTTTACGTTTGGGAGGGGCTTTGTGTTCCTTAATTGTTTCACAGCTTGCCTAAGGGTTTCCTTACGTTCTGGATGGGACACCGAAGTTTCACTTCTGGGAAAAGGGGGCCTCGTTTCTCATGTAGGGTTTCTTCGGTCAACGCCTAGCCTGTATGTTCTTGGGGTCGTTCCTTAGATCCAGGTTGGGAAGCCTATTCGTGATCGGGGCCCGCCCTTTCCACAGGAGGGTCTGTCGTTCCTTCTTCAGTGCTGCTGCTCGTGGTAGCCCTCTCTCTGCGGGTAGCCCCCCTTTTCCAGCCCTCGGAAATCTTGGCATCGCTTGGACGTGTGTGCTTTTTTCTCGGCGAAGACCATCGAGGAGCCTTTGGGGGACATCTTGCGGCCACACAAATGCATGCTGCACTCACGAAGCCGATAATTACCCGGGGAATATACGTCCGAGCGATGGCGGGCAACGGGAGCTAAGCGTAGAGGGTCGCCCCCCCCCCCCCCTTCGCCCTGACCCCTATATTTGAGACCCTCCAGGACCTGCCCGAGGCAGTGGGTCGCCTGCGGGATCTGATGCAGTGCGCGGACCCTCGGGGGCAGCAGCGGCAGGGGGGTGGGCCTGGTGCGGGGGAGGCTCGGCGTCGACCCCCACTCGGCGACCACACAAAGGGTGTGGTGACGCCGATGTGTGGTTTGCGATCTGCGTTGGTTGGGGCTTGGGGGCCCGCCTCTTCGGGGCGCGACGGAGAACTCTGTCGAGGTCCTCCGCCTGCCCCGAGGAGGAAGAGGAGGAGGAGGAGGAGGAGGAGGAGGAGGAGGCGGAGGAGGTGCAGGAGGAGGAGGAGAAGGAGGCGGAGGAGGAGGAGGCGGAGGAGGCGGAGGAGGAGGAGGCGGAGGCGGAGAAGGAGGAGGAGGAGGAGGAGGCGGAGGAGGACCCTCGGGGTGCGGGTTGCAAACCGCACGCTTGGCAAACCACCTCCTTCGGGACCGCCGGCCCATTCTCGCCCATGCCTCGCCGGTCGGGGCCCGGGCCCGCCACCAAGGAGGAGCGTGCGGCGTCGCTGCCGGGGGCCTGTCGCAGAGCCATCGGCGAGATTTCGCTGATTCCAAGGCGAGGTTTCCCCTCCCCTGAGGCAGTCCCCCCCCCCTTGTCAATTCTCAGAGGAGGGAAAGATACCCATACCGCCACCCTTCACCTGTTTTCCCCCCCTCTCTGGGCCTCCTGGGAGGCCTTCGTCGCCACCGCTGGAGTCGCTCCGAAATCCTGGTCAGAACGCACCCACGGAGAGGTCGGGGGTTGGCGGTATCGCTGCCTCTTAGTTCCCCAGATTCCTTCTCAGGACCAGTGGTGGCAGCTGAACGGCGAGGCGACTCGGCTCGAGATCCTCTTCGAGAGGCCGCGGCCGCTCGCAAAGAGGGGCCCCCCGTTCGCCGGAGCGGCCTCTTGGCGCACGGCCTTCTCGGGGCGCACGCACCCCGACCTCTGCGCGTCGTGCAGCAGTTGCGACGGAGGGCTTTCCTCACGAACCCTCACCTGGCCCCAGAGCCGTGAAACAAGGGCGCCCTCGAGGGCGCGCAGTTATTCGCGCTTATTCGCGCTTCGCGGCTCGGCTCCGATTCCTCATCCCCTCTTCTCACCTGTGAGGCGGCGCGAGAAGTTATTCGCACTTCGCGCAGCGCGAAGCGCGAAGTTGGGAGCCCTTGTGAAAACACGGCTCGGGAGAGAGATCTGGTCCGCGGGAAGGGGTTCGCTAGGCCTTCCAGATGGGTTTGAGTAGATGGGGTCGGAGGACCGCGCGGCATACCCGACGCCCCGGCGATGCGGCTTGATGTGGAGACAGGCTCTCTTCTCGCCGACGTCGCCGATGCATGGGCGATACGGCGCGATCACCCGACCCGATCTACTCGGACCCCATTTGGGAGGCCTCCGGAGGGAGGGGTCCCCACCTTCGGGGTACCACGCTGTGGCAAAGCCGCGCGGCGTCGGACGACCTCGGGGCAGGCCGCCGCGCTCTCCAGAGGCCACTCCTCGGAGGCCTACAAGCCGACACTGACGCCAGCACCCAAACCGATGGCGTGCCTCCACCGAGGCAAGATGATCCCCATCTCGGCGATAGTGGTAACATTCCGGCTTCCTAGGTGGCCGGGAGATCACTACCGCCATCACCAACATCTGGGATCATTTGCCCCCCGTGGAGGCAACCCCTTGTCTCGGTGGTGGTGCCCATCCCATGCCTCGAAACGTCTGCCCCCGGGGCCGCTCGTCCGCGCAGCCGGGCAGGTCAGAGTCCGACTGGGACCAGCGCGACGGGAGGCTGAAGGATCGGGCGGACGGCAAGGGGGCGGGGCAGCAAACGTCAGGGCTGGACCTAAACGCTGCTCTGCTGGACGTTGGCTGTGCTTTGTTTTTCGTTCGGGGAGGGAGGTACAGGAAAGCAGGTAGAGCAAAATTCAGGAGGGGAAAACACACACAGACACACTTAATCGTCGATCCCCCAGAACATATTGGGAAACATGGGAAGTGGGGGGGAAGACAAAAAATCCAGACAACATGGGAAGATATGGGCAATCCTGTCGTCTGTGTGTATGTCTTTGCGCGTCCCAGGGCCACTTCAAAAACGACCAACGAAACGACAACAACACGAAACACAACGCTGAGGTCCAGCCCCGGCAAGCGTTGGGGGGCCGATGGGGTGCAGGCTGGCGGCCCCGAGGGGGCCCCGGCACGGCCCCCGCGCTGCCACCGCGGGCCCACGGGAGGGGCGGAGAGCGCACGCTGCAGTGGAGGCCCATGCCAGGAAGCGCCCCGCTTGCCTCCAGGGGTGCCCCGGGTCTCCCGGGCTTCGGTGGTTCTGCGATGGGCGAAACGCGCACGCTGCAGTGGAGACCCACGCCAGGAAGTAAGCGCCCTCGGGGGCGCGAAGTTATTCGCGCTTCGCGGTTCGGCTCCGATTCCTCCTCATCCTCCTCTTCTCCCCTGGGAGGCGGTGCGAGAGCGCGAAGTTATTCGCACTCCGCGCTTCGCGCCGCGCGAAGCGCGAAGTTGGGAGCCCCTGCATGCCAAGAAACACCCTGCTTGCCTCCAGGGTGCCCTGGGTCTCCTGGGCTTCGGTGGTTCTGCGATGGGAAGCGCTGTGCTCCCACGCCGAAAATCAACTAGCGTCCTGGGGTCTCAGGGTGGGGACCAGCCCCCACTGTACTTTACCCTGGGCAGCCGCTGCCCCGGGTGGTCGCCAGGTGCGCTGCTTGCCTCTGGATCCTCCCCCTTCCTCTCCTCCTTCTCCTCCTCTTCATCCTCCTCCTCCTCCTCCCGGTTCTCCGCGCTCTGCTGTTTGTCACCCAAACTCGCCAATAGGATCCCGCTGGATGGTTCAACAAGTACACGTTTCTTGATTTATGGCGCACTGCCCCCCCGTTAACGAACGCCCGAAAGGAGCGCCTCGAGAGATCGTTCATCGGCACCGCCCACATCGTGTTCGCCACGCTCAACAGCGCTGCCAGGCTCCGGCCGCACATGCTGCGCGAGGGCTCGCTGCCCTTCGGCACCGTCGTGGTGGACGAGGCTGCCCAGGCGACGGAGCCATCCACGGCCCGCCGAAGAAGAAATTCCAGTGATGAAAAAACACCCCGTCCCCATAATTGGCGTTTGCGAAACCTCCCTGGGCATTTACTAAACAGCCCTGGCCTGTTCGATTCCTCGCCTGGGCGCGTTTACTAAACACCTGGGCTTGTTGGAGTGCTTACTATGAGGGTGGTTCTCCTGCTGTCCTGTAAAAGTCAACAGACGTTCGGAGGCCTGAGCGTGTTTCTCGGATTTTTGCTGTTCTCGGATTTTGCTGAACTCCCCGGCGTCAGAAGAGGAAGATGTACCAACACGGCGACCCTTGCCTCGTCGCCACGGCTGGATTCGCCTCGAAGCCCTGGCCGGAACGCACCACGGGTGAGCTCGAATGGTCCAGGTAGTAGCGGCGTGGGTACCTTTTCGTCGTTGCCACCGAGGGTGTCCAGCGCCGATCCGAGAAAACCAGCGCGGAACTCCGACAGTTGTTATGTCTGTGCAGATATTTCCGCTCCCAGGTCATCCCCCTGGAGCTGGCGCGCTCGCGCCGCTGCGTGCTGGTCGGTGATGACAGGCAGCTCCCGCCGACGATGTTTGCGGGGTGGGCGGAGGAGCCGAGGCTGGTGTTTATCGAGATCTGCCGCCTTGGGGGCCCGATCTCCCTGGGTCTTGGGAGGCGGTGGATATGGACAGATTCGGCCCCCTAACGCAGAAAGTCAGAACAGGAACAAGTACTGATACCGATGCTCGTCCTGGAGAGTCCCCGTCGCGTTGGCTGGATTCCTTCGGAAGCTCTGGTCAGGATGCGCCCCAGAAGAGGTCCAGGGAGTAGCGGTATCGGTATTTGTTGTTCCTCCCGAAGGTCCGGCAGCTCGACAAGTCGCGGCGGCCGTTTTTTTCTCCCCTCTTGGCCCTCTGGGAGCAGGTTTCGTCCAGGGAAAACGCCTCGGGTTGAGAAGCCAGGCGCGCGGTCCAGTGGCCCATTTCTGGAACACGTCACGCCTCCGCCAGATCACTGGCTGGGCCCAAATTCGGCCATCCCACTGTTTTTTGTTCTTAGCGCGGTTCCCAAAGGTTTGGACCCCTTCTGGGGACCGTCTACTGACGGCCTGTCCTCGGGCACGGTGAGGGAGCCTCGGAGGCCGAGACCAAAAGCCTCCCGTCGCGATTGCTTCAGGACTGGCGGGGGTCAGGATCCAGGGAGAGCGGCTCCTGGGGGGTGGATATGTGCAGCCACTGCGCTGAGGCATAACGAACACTTTGGGCTCTGGAGAGGCTCTGCTCTCCGAGATGTTCCTTAGATCTGGATCCCGGCAGGCGATGCTCGCTGATGGGCCCATTTCGTTGCTCGTTGATGGGCCAATTTCCCACCACCACTACCATAGGTAGGACTGGGGAGAAAGGGGGATCGGGAGGTCCTCCTCCTCCTCCTTTTCCTCCTCCTCCTCCTCCTCCTCCTCGTCCTCGTCCTCGTTCTCGTTCTCGTTCTCGTTCTCCTCCTCCTCCCCCTCCCCCTCCTCCTCCTCCTCCTCATCCTCCTCCTCCTCCTCCTCCTCCTCCTCCTCCTCCTCCTCCTCCTCCTCCTCCTCCTCCCCTTCTCCTCCCTCCCTTGCCTATGGCAGCGGTGGTGGACAATCGGCCCATCATGCGTGACGCAGCCTCGCCGTGGCGCAGGAAGCCCGGGCCGCTCCGCTGAGGCCCGGGCCTTCAAGTCGGGCCTGTCCCCCTACAGGGGGAAGATTTGAACATAGTGAAGGAATAGTCAGGGGACGATTGTTTCGCATGTTTTCAATTCTTTTGGGGCATGTGTTGGGTATCCTCAATTGTTCGCCCCAAATCCGCCTGTAGGGGGACAGGCCCGACCTAAGGCCAGCCTCTGGCGGTCCCGAGGCCGAGAGCGGGGCCTCCCTTCGAGGCGGGGGTTCATAGGCGGGGCCTCCTAGACGGGGTCCGAGCAGATGGGGCCCGCCAGTGGAAACGTTTGGCGGCGATGTATCGGCGCTATCCTCCGACCATCTTCGCCGACCCCATCCAGGACGCCTCCATATGCTTCAGGAGGGAAAACACAGACACAAGTAATCGACGATCCCCAGGAAAAAGTGGGAGGCTATGGGAAGGGGGGGGGGGAAGACGAAAACCCGGAAAATAGGGGACAGGATGGGGAATCCTGCAACTTGTGCCTGATTATTTGTGTGTCGCAGGGCCCCTTTGGAATTACACGTGGGGCGCCTCAGAAAGGGCCTCGCCTTCGAGTTTCGAAGGAGTTGTCATCTCCTTCCTCGGCGGAAGGCCGCGGAAGTAAAACGAGGGCGGCTCCGCAGCGGAAGTTGGCGGGAACAAAAGTCGATCTCCCAAGAGATAACAACCTTTTGGGGGTTCAGGGTTTCCTGAGTCCGCCAAGTAACCACCGCCTGGAGGATTGATTTTCGCCCGAAGGCGATGGTTATGGATATGTTTTGGCCCCTGGGGGCCAACACATGCATATCCACTCCCCGACAGGCCCCATCGGATGTCGGTTCCCAGGCGGTCCCCGCCTCGCACATCAGGGACCCGAGGGGCCAAAAGGTGGGGACAAGCCGGCCGCATCAGTTTTTACTCCAGGCGCCGTATGTTTCACGAACCCGTCTCAGCGCCATGGCTGCTTAAGCCCAAGCCCGCGCGGGAGGAGTCGCGCGCGTCGAGGACGCTCTTCGAGCGGTTGCGGCAGCTTGGCCACACTCCTCGGCTGCTGGAGGAGCAGCACCGGATGCACCCCAGTATCTCGGCCTTCCCGCGCGCGTACTTCTCGGGGGCTGCAAGAGGTGACCTCGGCCGCCTCGGCCTGTCCCCGATGGCTTGCCATCGCTCGGACGTGTGCGCGTTTCTCGTTAAGGCCAGCGCTAGATAGTGACGACCATCCAGGAGCATCTTGGGTCATTTTGCTAGAGGATTTCGCGCGAGACCGAGCAGTGCACTGGGAATGGGCGCCCAAGCGATGGCAAGATCGGGTCAGAGCAGATGGGGGCGAAGGAGAGCGCCGCATCGCCGATGCAGCGGCGATGCTGGTCGATGTGGCGCTCGATTCTCTCCACGTCGGCGTCGCCGAAGCATCGCCGATACGGCAGCTCGGACCCCATTTGGGAGGTCTCTGTAGTCCTCGCCGTCTTTCCAGATCTCCAGCGATATCTGATCTTGCCCCACGGGCGATGTCCTCTGGGGCCCGTTCATCGCCGCACACCAAACCACCCCAACCCAACCCGAAGGCCCCGACTTGCCCTCCACTCCCATTGGGGGGGGGTCGGGGAACGCTGAACAAAACACATCTGAAGCCCGTTCACGCCGGTCGTTGAAAGTGGGTATTTTTGGATGCCCAAATCCTAATCTACTTCAGGCGCCTTCCTACTTCAAGAGTCGAGCGGTGTTCCCTCTTTCCTCCTCTTCAGGGGGCGGGCGGAAGTCCAATCTGCTTCCAACGCCTTCCTACATCATGTCTCTACCCACTTCTTCCGACCGGCGTGCCCCCCCCCCACCCACCCGAAATCCGGGTCTTCGGGTTGGGCCGGGGTGGTCTCGCGGGCAGCGGTCCTCGGGCCACGCGTGGCCACCAGGAGAGGAGCCGGGGCGAGAGGCTTCCCGCGGGGAAGGGGGTCGGGAGCGCTGGTCGGGCGAAGAGAACTACAGTCAAAAACCCTAATAAGGACGCGCGGTAAGGACGCAAGACCCTTGGAAGCCGAAGCTGGGATTTTTGGGGCGGAGGGCGACGAGAACCTCAAGGACGCAAGAGCAAGGAAGAGCAAAGACGCAAGGGTACCCTGAGCAAAGTCGCGCGTCCTTATCAGGGTTTTTGACTGTATGCACGTGCACCGATCCTGGCAAGGCCCATCCTTGACCCAGGATCGGTGCATATACCTTCCTGGCCAGGGTAGAGGGCGTGTGCACCGATCCTGGGCTCAGGATAGGCCCGGCCAGAATCGGTGCGTGTGCATCGTTCCCTTTCCTCTCTCTGGGGCCGCGCGTTCTGGACAGACCAGGTCGGTCGGGGCTCGTCGCCGACGCCTCGGCGACGCGGCCCCGGGCTTTTTTGTGCCGACGGCCCCCCGCGGCCCGGCGAGGGAGCCCGGAGGCCGAACACGTGCAACACTCGGGGGCGGCCAGGGGGGTTGCGATGGCTAGGTGGGGGGGATGTCGTGGCGAGGGCCATGATACTCAAAGGCCAGCAACATATGTACACGTACGCGGTTAGCATCCCCTGGAGGGCGTTTGAACGAGGACGTTCGTGCATGCAAGATCGCGGAGGGCGTACATGTACATATGTCGTTGTTCCTCCCCAGATCTCATGGCGCCTATTCTGATTTCGATACGTCCCCGGCTCCCCCCCTGGGCCGCGCACATGCCGCCGGCCATGATTTGCGCCCCCTCTTTGGGCGCCCCCCTCTTGGCCGCCCCCGAGACATCTGTCCGCCGTGATTCTGTGTTTCACGGCGGAACACTTTGCACATGTTTCGGATGCAACCCTTGGGAGATCAGATTCTGGCTTGGCCCTGGTCCGCCGACATCCGGCCGATTCTGGCTTTATCCCGCTCCATCCAGCTTCATGCGGCTCAGTCCGGCTTCATCCCGCTGAGTCCGCGGCCGAATCTGGCGTAAAAGCCCCCCACGAGGCGTACAGTGGGGACGCGCATCAAGAAGCCAACTGTTTTCCGTCAGGGTGCCCTGGGTCTTCGCTCCGCGCGCTGCGCGGTGATTTCCCGCGGCCGATGAAAAAGCTGGTGCGTTCAGGGGGCTCTGGGTCCCATCCCGTGTGCATCTCGCGCCTGCGGGTTTCAGGGCTGGGTTTCTTGCGAGGGCTTCTTGCGGCCGCGCCCGCACTGTATTCCTCCCCAGTCCTTCCGACAAAGGCCTCCCAGTCCTAGGTCGGGCGTGTCCCTCTACAGGGGGAAGATTCAAAAATAGTTCAAAGAATAGTCTGCGGACTACTTTTTGCCTATGTTTGAATATTGCTGAATATTTATTTTCTTATGGTTCGTCCAACGTCCGCCTGCAGGGGGACATGCCCGAGCTAATCCCAGCCGTTGCCGCCGAGCCTCTGGCGGCGCCCGAACTTCTACGGCGGCCAGCTGCGCGACGCGGACGCCGTGGTCGGCCGGGAGGGCCTGGCCCTGCACGGCCTGGTGCCGCCGCTGCTCTTCCTGGACCTGGAGTCCTCCAGCTCGGAGTCCTATCCCGGGCGCCTGCGGCGACTCCCCCCCAGACGTGGTCGCGTCGTAAGAACATCAGGGCGGGCGGTTCTTCGCTATTTTCGGCCCCAAGGAGCCCTTGCCGGGCCCCCGGGGCGTCGAACATCAATCCAGGATGGAAAACTGGTCCCGGGGATAGGGACGCCGTCTTGAAACAATGAGGACGTTGTATGTCTGGGTCGCCATAGAGCATACGTGTTTTTGGAATATGTTAGGGGTATGTTTAATTTTTCATCCGAAATCCGCCTGTAGGGGGACATGCCCGACCTAACGCTACGCGTGACACGCGTCCCCCCAGTGCTTGAGGCTCACGGGGGCCATAATGGCCGTCTCGGGGCTGTCTGGGTCTCCTGTGCGGCAGTCTTGGGAGTTCCAAGTCGTTGGCCCCCTCGGAGGCCATCTGGGCCGTCCTGTGCGGAATAGCGGCCTCTCGGGGCTCTCATTGGGCCCCCTTGGGCCCTCAAAGACCGCAAGTAGGCCGAGCTTCTGCCGAAGAGCGCATGAAACAGAATCTATCCCAAACCATATGGGATCCACTGCGTTTGACCTCTCGAGGGTCTGGAGGGCGTCTTGGGGGTGTCTTGGGCCTGTTGGAGGCCTCTAACTCAGCGGCCGGCGGAGCGGTTCTCGGGGGCTCCTGGTGCGCGTCGTCGGGGCAGTGCTGGGCCAGGCCCTGGCGGCCCTCCTGGGCCGCCTCGGAGAAGCCGTGGGGTGCCCTGGAGAGCCCCCCATTGGAGGCGGCGGGCCGCCCAGGGAGCGGGGGGCGGGGCCGACGCCTGCTGCACCATCAGCGTCGGCAGCGGGAGCGGTGGCGGTGGCGGCAGCCGGGAGCGCAGTCGTCATCGCAGTCGGTGGCAGTTGGAGTGGCAGTGGCTTGCAATGGGGGGCGGCGCAGCTGCGACGGCCTGCCGCCCGGAAGCGCGCTGGGAGAGGGGGGGCCCCCCTTGGGGGACTCGCGGAGAACCAGCACGGGCAGGGCTCGCTGTTCGGTTCCTCCGATTCCGATCCGACTCGGCTTCGATGGATCCCGAGTCCGGTTCGGCTCGGCTTGGGATTTTCCGATTTGGATTCCGATTCCCCAGTGGTGCCTGATTACTCTGCCGATTTCCGTCGATTCGACTCCTCCCGACCTGGCTGCCGATTTCCGCCGATCCGATTCATTTCGATCGCCGATTCGGCTTAACGATTCGATTCCGAGCTCTCCTGGCACGGTCAGGCAGCACGGGCCGTTTCTCAGACCGAGGTCGGGGAGCCCGTTCGAAGAGCCGGGCTCGCCGCGGCCAGGAGAGCCCCTGCGTGCCTTCTTTGGCGTTCCTCGTAAGTTTAAAAGTAGCCTGGCGATTATGTCGGACAGTAATTTACAACTACGCGGGGGTATGATTGGGGTAATTTTTAATTATTCGCCCAAAATCCGCCTGTAGGGGGACATGCCCGACCTAGGGCGAGGGCCGCTCAGCGCCAGGAGGTCCACCCCTAGCCCACGGGGCTGCGTTGGGGCCGCAGCGGCGGCGCTGGCCCCTTGTGGGGCCCTCCCTGGGCGCCTTCGGGGCGCCCGTCTGAGCTCACTCACTAGCAAGCCGTCAGGGCCTGAGGCGGTCACACAGTAATCAGGAGGGACAAATTAACACAGAGACGCAATGCATCGTCGGCCTCCCAGAAAATATAGGATAATATGGGACATGGGGGGGAAGACGAAGATCAAAAACATATGGGGAACCCTTTTATTTGCGTGTATTTATTTGTGTGTCCCAGGGCCCCTTTGCAATTGGCACCGTGGCTGCACCACCACGCCTCCGCGTGCCAGGGGGCACGCTCGCGGGCAACGGGTCGTGCAGGAACCTCGAGGAGGCCCGGCTCTGCCGCGGCGTCCTGGAGCAGCTGCTGGAGGCCGCGCGGCAGCTGGGCGAGGAGAGCATCGTGCGCAGCGTTGCCGTCCTCACGCCCTACAGGCAGGGCCCCTCCCGATCCGGTCTGCCCGGGTCGACATCGATTCTGGCCGGCCCGATCCGATCCCGATGCTCTGACGATCCGATGCGGCCCGATGCTTGCGTGGCGCTGCTGTGCATCTTGGCACGGCCGATCCGACTTGACCCCGGCTCCGTGCCGACGCGGCCCGAGGCGACGCGCGTTCCGATCCGAGCCGAGTTCCCAAGGCGATAGGGACTCGGCGGCGAGCGAGGGGGGGTAACTGAGAAGGAGAAGGCCTTCTCAGAAGGCGGCGGAACTTCTCAGAAACCCTTGCGCCTTCTGAGGGCTTGGTCTATCTCAGGGGAAGGCCCAGAAAACTTGTCAGAATGCTGGGGGGCTTCCGAGGCTTCTGATAAGGCCCGCTCCGTCTCACTTCCCCCCCTCGCTCGCCGCCAAATGACCGATCCTGCTCACTGAGGGCGCAGCAGGAGGCGCTGCAGCTGCAGCTGCGCCAGTCTCGCGGCGCGCCCTGCGGGGCGGAGGCCGTGCACACGGTCGACGGCTTCCAGGGCCAGGAGCCGAGGGAGACGAACGCTCGGATCGCCCGCTCGGATCTCTCCCTTTCGGGTCCAGCACCGGCCGACGAGCTCCGCGCGGGCCTCCGAAATGGTGTGTTTTCGTGGGAGAGGACTGCGGCGTGGCACCGCCCCCCCCCCCCCCCCGTCTTTTGGAGACGCCTGCGGGCTGCGTGCTCCCCCAGCTGTTGAGGAGGCCGCTGGGGAGGAGGAGAAACTGGAGGAGGAGCAGAAGGAGGAAATCGTGATGGAGGAGGAGATAAGATAAGAGGAATAACGAGGAGGACGGAAAGGAGGAGGACGAGCAGGAGGAGGAGGAGGAGGAGGAGGAACTGGAGGAACTGGAGGAGGAGGAGAATCGAGGAACATGAGACGGGATAGGAGAAGAGGAGGATGATGATGAGGAGGAGGCGAAGGATGAGGACGAGGAGGAGGAGGAGGAGGAGGAAGAGGAAGAAGAGGAGGAGGAGGAGGAGGATGAGGCGGAGATGCAATTTTTTTGGTATTCTGCAGGAGGCGGAGGTGGTCGTCTTCAGCTCCGTGCGCGCTCCGGAGGTGTCGCGCCGCAGCTGCGGCATCGGTTTCCTGGCCGATGAGCGACGGTTGAACGTGGCGCTGACTCGCGCGAAGAGCCTTTTGGTCATCATCGGCCACTCCAGGACCCCAGGGATACTTGCGACGTGAGAAAAATCAAGACGGGAGGTTTTTCGCCGCTGGTTGCCTCCGGGGGCCCTGGCCGGACCCCAGGACCGTGAAAAAACGCATCAGGATGAAAGACCGTTCCCGTGCCACAACACTATTCCTGGGGCTTCGGTGCCGTGAATCACATGACTGTTGCGTCCTGGCAATCTGTAACAGCGCCAGGACGCAATTCCTGGGACTTCAAAGATACACGAATTCTTGAGTCGGTTGCAAACTTTGAAGACGAATGTGTACGCTGCGAAGGCAAGAGGCACATTTTGAACAGGAGCCGCCCTCCAACCTTGAAATGGTTGCCAACGTTTAACATTAATGTGCGCTGCGCTAAGGCGGGATCCACCTTTTGAATTGAAAAAGACCCGCCCTCTTACATGTCCAAGCTTCAAAATCATAAGCGTTGAGGCAGTCAGGCGTAACGACGCCCTACGGACACGTCACGTATGGGGGTGTGACAAGAACCAGTTGTTAATAAGGAAGGTGAGGAGGAGGAAGTGGAGGAGGAGGATGAGGAGGAGGAGGAGGAGGCCGACGATGCCGTCGAGGAGAGGGGGAGGATGGGAAGACGCTGGTGGAGGAGCGATGAGCCTCCTCGAGCCTCGGTGCTCTTCCCAGGAGGGCCAGAAATGCGACATGCAATGTCCTGAGTTTCGTCAGAGCGGGGTCCCCGGAAGCCCCGACGCTTTCCTTCTGAGGCCAGTCTTTCGTTTCCTGAGCCGTGTTTTGACGGCCCCGGGGCCTGGCAAGGGCCCCCAAAGATTCCCGAAATGACGAACAACCTCCGTCTTTCGAGCAGGGGATCGACTACAGAACTGGTTGACCACGACATGTTTTTTTCGTCGAACCCAGGAAACATACAACGTCTCTGTTCTTGTAGATTCGACGAGTAGATCAATATTGGGGAAGAGGGTTTCTGTAGTCGATCCCGTACTCGGGTCTTGATCGTTTCGCATCGCGGGCATGTCTTCGGGGGCGGACAAGAGGGGGGTGATGACCAGGGGGGGGGGATATCATGGCGTAGGCCATGATCATTCCTCAGATTTCATGGCGCCTCTTCTTACTTCAGTACGTTCCTGGCCCCTCCCCTGGGCCGCACATGTGCCGCCGGCCATGGCGGCCATGATTTGCGCCCCCCCTCTTGGACGCCCCCCTCTTCCCAGAGCCCCGACGTCATATTTTGTTCATGACGCGACGCCCAGAGGTCCGGACCCATTCCCTGGGACCGGTTTTTCATCCTTGTTCTTTTTTGGACGGCCCCGAGGCCGGGTAAGAGCCCCCGGAGGCCGAAAATAGCGAACAACTTGCCGTCGTGATTTTTGTCATGACTCGAGGCGGTCTGGGTTGGTCGCCCCCGATGTCTGGGAGGACCCTGTCGCAGTCGCCGGCCTGGGCCTCGCTGCTGCGCCACGTGCGGGGCGCGGCCCCGGGCGCGGGCGCCCTCCGGCGGGTGCGGAGCAGCAGCGAGGCCGCCGCCGCGCTCGGCGGGGAGCGGCCTGAGGGCTGCGTCTGCTCGTGAGGCGCCCGCCGCCGCGCAGGGAATCGGGCAGTGGCGGAGCGTCTTGGCGTGCCCATAGGCCCGCCAAAGAGTGTTCTAGGAGCCTTTTGTGGTTCGCGCGAGATGTTCTCAGAACATTTGTTGGCTGAGACTGTCTCGTTTTGACACATCGGGCTGATGTTCTGAGAACCTTGTTTTGCGTCTTCGAACACGTCTGGGTTCTAAGAACATTACGCGGTAGGCCTATCGGAGTGCCGGGACGGTTGGTCCCCGCTCAAGGGAGGGCCCAGGCCGAGGCGGCGGCGGCGGCCGTCCGTCACCGCGCACCAGACCTCGGAGGAGGAAAAGGTACCCATACTCATACCCCCTCGCCCCGTTTTCCCCTTTTTGGGCATCCTGGGAGGCCCTCGTCGCCACCGCTGGATTCGCCTCGAAATCCTGGCCACAACGCACCCCAGGAGAGGTCCGGAGAGTAGCGGTATCGGTACCTTTTGGTTTCCCCAAGACTTCCCCAGCCCAACCCGAAGGCTCCAAAGTGCCCTTCATTTCCAGTGTGGGGGGGGGGATGTCGGGGAACGTTGGATCAACTTTTTCCGTCGGCGGCGAGGCAGAGGCAGTCCACAACAGCGTGGGGTTCAGCATTGAAGAAACACATGGGTGACGCAAAAAGAACGGGGTCGACTTCGCCGGCGTTCGCGCGCAAGCTGCCCGCGCAGGGTCGCCTGTAAACGCCTTCTTCTCCAAAGTGGCGCGCCGCGCTTGCGGCCCGCGTAAGCCACCGCGTAAGGTCGCTGTGCTATCTCGCGCAAGACCCACTTTTGATCGTCGCCCACATGGGCGTCGAAAGACAACGGGGTCGTCTTCGCCGACATCGGCGCGTAAGCTGCCCGCGAAAGGTCAAGCGTAAGCGCCCTCTTCTCCACTGTAGCGCGCCGCGCTTGCGGCCCGCGTGAGCCACCGCGCGAGGTGGCCATGCCATCTCGGGTAAGACCCCTTTTTGATCGTCGCTCACATGCGGAACCCGTACCCCCCCAAACCCGAAGTCGGGGTCTGCGCGTTGGGTTGGGGTGGTCTGGTAGGTAGTCAGTCCCCGTGGCGCTTTCCGTCGTCTCTGCAGTCGGGTGCGGCCAAGAGGGGAGGAGGAGGAGGAGGAGGAGGAGGAGGAGGAGGAGGAGGAGGAGGAGGAGGAAGAGGAGGACGAGGACGAGGACGAGGAGGAGGAGGAGGAGGGGCGGGCGGTTTTGACTAGGGAGAGTGGACCTTATGGCCAGGGGCACGAGATCTCCCAGAATCTTCAGTGGCCCCGCTTGTCTTTTCACCCCCCCGGTTCCCTCCCCCGTCGTCCGCGTACATGCCTCCGGCCATGATTTGCGACCCCCCCTCTTGGACGCCCCCGATTCGGAGAAAAGAACGGTATCGCCACCACCACCCGTGCTGCGATTTCGCCTTTGTGAGCCTCCTGGGAGGCCCTCGTCGCCACGACTGGATTCGCCACGGAACTCTGGTCAGACCGCACCCCTGGAGAGGTCCAGGGGATCGCGTGGTATCGGTATTTGTGGTTTCCCCGTCGTCACGGCTGCCTCGCTGAGCGGGTCAGGGTGGATTCCGAGAGGGCTCGGCGGATCTGGGCCGCGGCCGGGAGTGCCGCCGCTGTCTGGACTGGCCCTCCTATGACTGCCTGTGGCCCGCGAGAACCCTCAGGTCCGAGCGGCGCAAAGAAAACAGATCTCCGACGATATAGTCTGTCGGATCCTGGCATTCTTTTCTCGCTTTCGGCCCAGTGGCAGTCTTCGGGCCCTGGACATTCGTTATGAGTCAGGGACGAACTATTTGCCCCAGGAAGTTCGTCGAGACCTTCGGAGCCGTGAGTGGGAAAACACCCATCGGCGGACGTCTGGGAAAAATGCGGCGGTGCGCTTGCGGAATTTTCAGCCCTCAGAAGCCGCGTTCCGGCCCCATGGCCGTCATGAAACAGGGCTAGCGCCACAGCAAAGTTGAAGTGTCGCGAAGAGAAGGTGGGGTGAAAGCCAGCCCGTGGGAAAGTGGCCGACATCACGGGAAAGTTGCACTGTAGCGAGGAGAATTGGGGGGCGCGTAATGGTGGGGCGATGGGTGCGGGGGGGCAGCGAGGGCTGCAGGAAGGAGTCCTATCAGGGCTTCTAAAGGGGGCCTTCCCCGAATGGGCACCTTTCTTGCCATTGATCGCCCTCCCCATTAAGCGACGCCCAAGAGGGGCGGCGCTGGGAGGAGATAGGCATGCCCTCACCCTCGGTTCTTGGAGATTGTTCGGCCTCGGGATGCTCCCTTGCCGCTGCGCCCCGCCGGGGGCTCTCTGAGAGGTGACCGGATCGCCCCGAGAGGCCGCGGGAGACCCGCGTCAGGACCTGAGAGCCCGACCTGCTCCCCGCGGCGCCGAGCGAGGGGGGGAGAGCGAGAAGGCGAAGGCCTTCTCAGAAGGCGGCGGGACTTCACAGAAACCCTCGCGCCTTCTTTGGAGAATGTGCAGTGCGCCTTCTATGGAAAATGTTCAGTGTCTCCGGGGAAGGCGTGGACAACTTCTCAGGAGGCCTCCCGAGCTCCCGAGCCCTCTGAATAGGCCTTTGCCTTCTCAGTTCCTCCCTTGTGGGCTCGCCGCCGACCCCCGCGTCGCCACAAAAAAGAGGGCGGGACTGTGTGTGCTGCCCGTGTCAGGCCTGAGGGGGCCCTTCACCGGCCACCACAGGCCGTCAGGCAGGGGCTCAGAGGAGCCGGCAGGGCTTGACCTAAACGTTGCTCTGCTGGGCTTCGTCGGGGTTTTGCTTTTCGTGTTGGGAGGGAGTGGCAGGAAGACAGGAGGAGCAAAACGAGGAACAGCACGAAAAACACCGTTCAGGTCCAGCCCTTGGAGCCGGGTCCCAGGCGGGAGGGGCCCATGCCTTCTGGGGAGGCACGCTGTGAAGCAAGCGCCACGTCGGAGGTCGAACGACCCCCCATGCCTCCCGTCCCTCGCTGCCTCCCCCTCGCCCCTCTCGCTCCGCTTCCCCCGCCCCTCCGCCCTCCCTCCTCTCTCCCCCCGCGGCCGTCAAGGAGGGGCTCAGAAGAGAGCCGGGTCCCATGAGGGGGGGGTCCAGACCTTTGGGAGCCACGTTGTGAAGCAGTCACGATGTCGGAGGTCAAGGTTCACCACCCACCGAATCACCCCAGCCCAACCCGAAGGCCCCAAGCAGCCCTCCATTCCCAGTGTGGGGGGGGGGGGGCGCGTCGGGGAGCATTGAAAAACACATGGGGCCCGTACCATCCCCCCACCCACCCACACCCGAAATTTGTTTGGGTCTTCGGGTTGGGTTGGGGTGGTCTGGTAGGCAGTCAAGGATGCGGCAGCCCGCCCGCCGATCCCGAGGAGGAGGAGGAGGAGGAGGAGGAGGAGGAGGAGGAGGAGGAGGAGGAGGAGGAGGAGGAGGTGGAGGAAGAGGAGGAGGAGGAGGAGGACCCCCCGCCCCAAAAGCGAGAATCGCGTTGGGGGGCTCGGCGCCCTGGAGCCATCACCAACAGAGACAGCTCCGGACGAGAGGCCCGCCTCCCGGAGGGGAGCGGGGTCGAGAGTTTTCTGTGGCAGGTGCCCTGCTCCTGCTTCCCCGCCCTCCCCTTCCTTGAGACCGTGGTGCTTTGGCGCCCGTGCTGCTAGATACCGCGTGTTTCTGCCAGCAGCTAGTGAGTGCCGCAGTAAGCTGACCGTCTCCTCGGCGAATCAGAGCGCGATTCTAAGTTCCTTGAGACCTCGAGGGGGGGGAGCACCAGAGGAGGGAGGAGGAGGGTCCGAGTAGACCGCAGACGCAGGATGAATGCTGCAGCGCGCCCTCCTGTCTCAAGTCCCCTCTTCATACGCCCCTACAGGTGCTCCTTTTCACAAGGAGCGCTCCCCCTGACAGACCAGCACAGCAGGGCTCGCCATTCTGTCGAGGGCCCTAATCGGAAAAACGAAGTGCCTTGCGTTCGTCTGGCGCGTAGCCACGAGGGCGAGGAAAATCAATGATCATACAATTCATGCAGATGTCTAGCGAGATCCCTTATCGGTGTGACGATTGCACGAGTTCGCACTTGTATGGTCATTAACTCCGAGGAAGTCCCGAGCGAGAGCTGAATTTTGAAAGTGAGCCGTCATCCATCCTTGCAGGACTACTTTCGTTGAAGTTTCGGGTCCTTGCACTTAGCGTTAAGTCGGGCCTGTTCTCCCGCAGGGGGAATATTCCAAACAAAAATCAAAACATAGTCCAGGGACTATGTTTTGAATCTGGTGGGGCGTATTTCGAGCAGCTCCTGCGTATTTTGTAATTGTTCGTCCAAGATCCCCCTCTAGGGGGACAGGCCCGACCTAAACGTAGCGAAGTTATCCGCCGAGATCTGGAAAAAGGAACAGCGGCTGGACGCTCTTTCAGGAAGAGAGCGCGCGGCCGCACGGCGAGAGCGCCGCTTCGGAGAGCGAGCCCCGCTTCCGTGACGTTCCTGTACATTCAGGAGGGGAAGCAACACACAGACACAACTTATCGTCCACCCCCAGAAAATAATTGGAAATATGGGAAGCGGGGGGGGAAGGCATACATCCAGAAAATGTGGGGAACTATTCGGAATCCTGTTATTTGTGTGTATTTATCCGAAAGGGCTTCGCCCCCTGCCGCCGGCCCCCTCTCTCGGAGAATGGGCCATGGAAGAGCTAAGCCATGAGGCCTTGGCGCTGTCGTGAAGCAGTATCGAAACTTCATGCGAAGCCGATTCGCAATCAGCAAAACCAACTGATCGCAAGAGGGGTTCCCACACCTGGCGACTGGTAAAACGTGTATGGTTTACGGGCTTGGTTACCACACCTTGCGATTAAAGGGCCGAGGGAGTTCTCGCAGTTTGGGTTACCACGCCTTGCGATGGATGTGCGTGAAGGGTGGCACCGAATTGCAGAAATGTAGCAAATCCCCTGTGTTTTTGGACCCTGACCCCGCGGATCTGCGTAAGGGGTGGCGCCGAATTTCAGAAATGTGGCAAATCCCTTT